TTCAGGATAAATAGATAAATTATATCCAAATGAAGTCGATTGAAGATCGATGAACAAGTCCGATACTTGTACTTCTTTTAAAAAATTTCATATAAAAATTCTAAAAATTCTGCGAGAGATGCCGACTGAAAAGAATAATTTTTTAGTCGAGTGGCTGGTGCAAGAAAAAAATAATTGAGGATCCGCTGGACACAGTTGGTGATGCAATTGATGCAGCTATATGAAATTTATAAAAGAAAAAAATTGATTAAATTGAATGATAAGAATTATAAAATTAGATTAGAAATATTTGCAAAATATTATTATGAATAAATTTTAAAAATACGAAATATATTATTGTAAAATATGAAAATAAGAAGAACTAATATGAAAAGCAATTAGGTGAATGTCATCAAGCATATTCAATGCAATATTTTCGAAATCTAATCAGATAAGAATATTTATCGTTTGGAATAATGAATTCCATATATTAACTTCTCTATGGCTTTCAATTTCAAAGCTCTTTTAGTGATTATTTTAGTCGAATCAGAATTAATAATTTTCATCATCTTATAACTAATATTAACGATAAATAATCATGAAATTTGTTTATTTAAAAAATTTTTTTTTAAATATTTATTAAAATATTTATTTTAACATTTAAATTATTATAAAATATGGTAATTCGTCTTATTCAAGTATTTTTTTCTCATTTTTTTATTTTTATTTCAATGGACTGTTTGAGAAAAAGCTTCATAAATTTGATAATTTTTAGTGATAAAGTGATTTAGTGATGAGATGAATGTTAATTAAAATATTTCGATTGAGGATGAAAATGACAGATTTATAGACTCATTTATGTTTAAAATTTTTACAAATAAATAAATTTTTAAATAAAATATTGCATATAATAAAATAAAATAAATAAAAATAAAATAAAATAAAGAATTCATCAAGTCTGCACTTACGTTTGCCTTATGTTTACTTTTATTTTATATTTTTTAAATTTTAATTCATTTATTTTTTATATTTAATGTATAAATCAAACGATGGTTTACATTTTTAAATATTTTACTTAAATACTTATAAATATTTTAAAAATTCCGATAAAAAAATTTTTTAATAAAAATATGCTAATAGGATTTATATTATACATGCAATCTAAATGTGCAAATAGATTGAACATTCAGCAGTTTTTATTTTAATAGTTCTACAGCAAAAAAAATATAAAATAAAAAAATCGGTCTTTTTCCTTCCTTACTGATGGCAAAGACCAACTTTGGTCCTCTTATAGAGACCTGGGAGATTAAGAGTTCTGCGCAATATCGCAGAGTAGAGAACCCCGATGTTATTCCTGAAATCTGCTGAAGCCACATTTCTAGTTTGAAAGGTCACATTTCCAAACTCATTAGTTTTTATAGGATTCATAACAATTATGTATATATATAAATTAAAAAAAGCTAGTATTAAATTTTTCTAGACAATTATTAAATCTCACAATGCATCATTTCTCTTTGTGTAAAAAATTATACAAGGTTGAATTCCTTCAGAAAAACTAAAATCTATCGTAATAGTTGATTCTACGAAATGAGCAATAGAAAAGATGCTTCCGAAGATGCTTTGTCTTGACAATGGAGTTTCGCGAACTTCAGTTCTATAATTTTTAGCCCTAAAAAATTTCTGAATTTCCAAAATTTTTATTATTAGATTTGTAATGAAACAAATCGAATTGAAGGATAATTTAGTGACATTCGATCTGCGATAGTTCGACGACAATTTCGCGATATTATAATTAAATCCGCTCACTAATTACTTTATTCACCAATTTACTTTTTTTGTTCTATCACTGTAGAAATGATTTTATTTATTCGAACATAGCGCTATTGTTAACCTTTAATATATCGCTGAATATTTCGTTTGTCTAGTGAAAAACGATAAAATTACCATAATAGGAATAATATTATAGTTGAGAAACGGTAGCAGTGACCATCGATAGTGGTAACAATAGGTGACGGTAGCAACGATCATCGATTGATAAGCTGATAGGGACGGATGACGATAGCGATGATCATTGGTTGATAAGGTGATAGCAACGGATGACGGTAGTGATGATTTTCGGGAGAATATCGAAATCCCACCGGTTAAGCAATTATTTCTTCAAAAAAAATTGAATTTCATCCGATCTATTTTAGTTAAAAGAAGTTTTGTTACACAATTTCATTTTATTTAATTACTTTTTTTTTTTGAATTAGTGAATTTAAATGAATCTTATTGATAAAATAGCAGCACCACTTTCTATCACCAGTTATCACCATTTAGTCGTTCCATCGGTGATTTCATTGAATGAAATGTTTTTCCAAGTCTCCTAGTCCGATACCATTCCTTAATGGCTATTTTATTTAAATTTATAATATTAGTAAGAAATATTTGAATGGATTTCGGTCTAAATTATATTATGTAACCGATATCTTTTTCTTCTTCTTCATTACCATCAAAAAGACGTATAAAAGCTTTTTTGTTACCTTAAATTTATTCTATTGCTTCTATTTCTCTTATTGAATTTCCCTAGTTCCACCACTAATCGAAAATTTATTACTGTTTCATTCGATATTATTTTTCTTATTTCGTCGACTATTTTAATAAATTTGTCGCTGCTTTTATAATTGTATTTATCATTTTTATCAAACAAATCAAACCAAATGAAATAATCTGAGAAATTATAAAGAATTAAATTATAAAATTATAGTAAAGCAATAATTAATCGAATAAAAATAAATTAAATTATTTTGCTGACTGCATGGATTATTGCTGTTAGGATGTTTCGGAAGCGCCGATGCCGAATTCCGGATTTGCAAAAATTCGACCGCTGTTAAGCCACTCACTCACTCACCTATCGGTCTCTATCGTAAATTCAGATTTATAAAGTGGCATAATATATATATATATATAATTTATTTGGTCCGGTGGAGCGAACCGAAATTCTCAGCCTCCTAAAGAATTCAAATTGAATAACATAAAATATTGCATGCAAACGTAGAAATTTTGTGAAATAAGATGAACCGATATGATCATGAAAATACTGAATTATTCTTGTTCTTCAATTATTTAAGAAGATTAACTAATTTGCTTATATTCTTTAAAATCTAAGACTTGTAACTTATTGAGGTACTATCATATAAGTTTCTGGGTACTATCAATCGGATCAAATTTTTTAATTCAAAAAAAAAATTAAAATTCACACTTTTTTTTTAAGAACTGAGACTTTGAACTTATTGAGGTCTTTATCATTTATATTATTATCTGACCATAATTATCAATCAGATAATTTTTTAATTTTAACAGATTTATTTTTATAAAAAGCATTTAATTTTCCACTTGAAAATTTAGACTTAAAGAATTGGACTTGAAGATTTAGCTAAAAAATTTACGGTGTATTGTATTGTATTAATTTAATAATTATTATAATAATAATAATCGTAATAATTAATAAATAAGAGCAAAATATTCGTAGAAATAGTTTCTCATTGTTTATTACCTAAATTATCTTTATATATATATGTATAAATAATTTTTTAAAATGGAATTAATGAAGCGAAAAATAAATTTTTGATAAATCATTTGTGAAAAATAAAAATGAAGAAAATGTGACATTTGCATAGATTTAATGGGATTTAAAGAAGTCTGTCATTTATATACTTTTTCAATTTTTATTTTATTTTTTTTTCTTTTTAAATTCAACTTTTTTCCAACTTTAATTTTAATAGAATTTTCTTTTCAGTCATTCGCATAACCATTCTTTTTTCTGAATTTGACAATTTTTTTCCGATTTCTATAAATTTTCTTTTTAAAGAGAGAAAAAATTGGGAAATTTTTTTGTGCCATTAAAAGAAAAAAAGTTAAATTTATGAATTTTTCTGGCAGATTTGCATAGATTTTTCGAGATTGTCATTTTGTATTTACTGATATCTTTTTATTTCTATTTTTCTCGATTTTATCGAAACGAATTTCACATTTGCTTTCTCGCCTTCCCCTCTAATCCTAAGAAAATAAAATAAAACTAAATAAAATGAAAATATTTTCTTTGTTTTTTCTTTGTATTTAAGCCTAAATCCTAAGCCAAAAAACATCTAATACAACTAAATCTAATTATCACTAATCAATTATCAGTTTTCTTTTTCAGAAATTTTAATAATTCGACAATAACTACAGCGTAAAATTTATTGGATTAACGAGATTAGCAATCGACGAGATTAACATTATTTTTATCGTTTTTATTCGTCTTGACTTTTATCTGCTCATCATATGGTCATTTAATTCCTTTTTCTATAATAATAATTATTATTGTGGTAATTTTTGACTCGAAAGAGAGAAGAAAGAAGGAGGAATTAGTCGGGTCGGATCGGGTCGTAAGAACAAACGAACGGAGGACGGACGGACGGACGGACGGAGGGTCGGTCGATTTGCTCGTCGGGTGTTGTCATTCATTTGACCTTTCTCACTTCTATTACTTAAAACTATAAAAACAAATGATTTTATTTGTTATATTTAAAATTCTTTTATTATTTATAACATCGAATGCAACACCGAAATATCAAAGATTCTTCGTCAATACGCCGTAATTATTTTTTTTATTTTTTATAAAAATTAAAGAAAATAAAAATTTAAAAAAAACCACTCGCCATTTCTACTTAAAACTCGCTTTGTTTGGTTTATTGGACCAGATGGAAAATTTTATCAAATTTTATCACTTGGCGATTTATCAGTTAGGGCAGCCAGGGAGTGGATTTTTAAAAGACAGGTTCCGCCAGTAGCAGAACCTCAGGGTAAGCGCTCCGAAATGAGGGCGACAACCCGCTGAGCCATTCAACCCAATTTATTTTTATTTTTGAATCCTTAAACTAAATTTGCATCATTGTTGCATTTATTGTATTTATATTATATAATATTTATTATATTTTAGAGCAATTAATTTTATCGATACGACGAAACATGGTTTTCGAGTGGTTTTATTAGATTCATTCATGGAATCTTATTTAACACCGAATCAAATTCCAACATTATTCATATCAGCTTTACCATTAAGAAGTGATGAAGTACCATTAACGAGGATTTTCTATCCGGATGCAATACGAGATGATAAACAAGTTTATATATTCTAATCGTTGGATTAATTGGATTAAAGGGTAATTTAATGAATTAATGAACGATTTGATTTTAGATAAATCTTGCTGAATTGCAACAGCGTTCATGGTACTATGTATGTGTCGAATGGGAAAATTTCAATCGACATAATGAATCGACAGGCGCCGATTGTCGTTTACTTCGAACATTGGATCGTTTTGGAAAAATCGCCGACACAACGGTGACAAATATCGAAATTGTTGATATCGGTGCGACTACTATGCAATTCAAAATTCATTCGCTTGTCGATTTTCCTATTAGGTATTTTCTCGTCTTTTTCGTCTCCTATTGCTGATTTGGTAAGATGCAATTGCTACAATGGTGAGAAATCTTTTTTTGGAAGGAATTCAATAAGGAGTAGAAGGAATTGTAAGAGGTAGATGGGTTTGCAAAACAACCCAGATTTCACCATATGATATGATTTTCGTCACCAAGGAACCTAAATCGAACCAATTCTATTTGTCTTGCTATTCAAGTGATAATGCAGTTCAAAGAGATAATTATTTCATATTTTTTAAATGAATAATCCATAATTTTGATCACTTTTCAAATTTATCTCCACTTTTTTTCTGCTTTTAAAACTCTCTTCCAGTTATTCGCCTTTCAAATTTTATCCTAATTTCGATAATTTAGTGGTTTATTTTTTAAATATTTTCAAACTTTTTAAATAAATTTATTGAGAAATCCAAATAGGCTAACGATATCTCTGAGAGGAGGGCCAGGACCGATTGTTGCTTCTCAAATTTTTTATTATCGGCAATCAGCTGATCTCGAAGTTCTTTTCTCATTTTTAAAACAAGACACGGATTATGGCCAATTGTGTTTGCTAGAAGAGCCACTTGTCAGCGGTTATACAGCGATGGGTCGGCTCATTCCAAGCAAAAATATCGAAAAATGTTATTTCGGTATGTATATCAAATTCTTTTTTTATTTTTCTGTTTTTTAATTTTTTCGCTAAAATTACTTTAAAGCAGTTCAAAATTTCGTTTAATTAATTTTGATCAGTTAAATATATTTTTTATTATTTTTATTATTAATTATCATTTATTATTGTTGCTAATCATCATTATTAATCATTATTGACATTGTTACTATTAATCACTATTTTTATTATTTATTATTATCATTATTATTATTGTTATTATTATTATTATTATTATCATTTATGAATAAACTAAGGATAGATATGGACTTTTACTATTTTCAAACTTTTCATAGATTTTCACAAATTTGATTTTTTTTTTATTTTTTTCTTTTAGTATTCACCATTTTTGGTTGGGCTGGTTTGTTTTTCTGGCCAGAAAAACTTTGTTATTTAATGCTAGAAATAACAAAGTTTGTCGCTAGAATCATGCGATTTTTTCGAAAAGCTAATTTATTCACGCCATAGAACCCGAGTGCAATAACTCGCCGAGCCAACCTACTTTTAGTTAGAATTCTTAGAATTTAGAATTCTTCAAAATATTTTTGAATGGCCACTATTAATGCATCAAATAAAATATAAAAATATTTATATTTATGTAATAAAAATATATTTATATATAAATAAAATAAAATAAATAAAATATAAAGTAATAAAATAAAATAAAATTTATATTTTTTATATTTATATATTTATATTTTTGCAGGCAAATTAAAAACGAAGGACTACTTGTTATCGGCTTTCGATACAGAAGCGAGTCCCTATAAGCGTTCAACAACTTCTCACAATTATACCATTTCAGTTATAAATGAATTATTGTTTTTTGCTATTTTTGTAATTTTCATTTTTTTTTCAACAATATAAAATTATTTGCAAAATATTTTCATTTTTTTAAAATTACATATAAATCACTTGAAATAGCGATAATGAAAATTTTTTATGAATACTTTTCGGCTATATATTTATAATTGGTTTAAATATTATTACATATCCGCAGATATCCTCTTCATTAGCCTCTCTTATTGTTGTATCGTTTTCCTTATCATTTTCTACTATCTGGTGATAATTTTTATCATATTTGATTAATGTTTTAAACCATAATACTGTTTTAATAATTCTTTTTCTTCTGTTAAAAAATTGAACAGAATTGAATGCAAAAAAAATTTCTGCTTAATTTATAAATTATTAAAATATTCTATAATTTCTAATTTTATCAAAATTTTTTATTTATTTTTTATAAAATTCAAAAAAATAACTTTTTTAAAATACAATCCATATGAAAGGTACGTTTAGTAATAATTCGAAGTAAAATAAACGTAATGAGTTATATTCTATAAAATATTGCTATATTTAAAATGTTTTTAAAATTCCTTCTGATTCAAAGTTTATATTTATTCAAAAAATACAAAAAGCTGATTAGTATATCGAAAAAAAAGTGAAATCTTGCATGGTCTGCGAGTGGTATGGATCTTCCTCAATCTGCCAGAGATCTGTGAGGTTGCGGGTTCTGCGAAACTTTGCTTAGCTATTTCCAGCGATACGCTCTAGTTGTGCAAAGATCTCCTGGAATTCTGCTTGCAGCAACCTTTCCAGCTGGCAATTTTTGTAGCTCCGGTTGTTGCTAGCACCATTGGGACCACTTTGGCTTTCACTTCCCACAACTTCACTCCTTTTGAATCCCTTGTATGCTCATACCAATTTTTATGCGATCTCTTAATGATTTACGCCAATGAAAGCAATTATGCGATTTGTTAAATGCCATTGAGTGATATAATATTACAGATGTCAACTTTCTTAGACGATCGCCATCTAAGGCGGCGGTATTTCTCATAAAAAAAAGATTTATTAGGTGATTTGTCGAAAATAAAATGATGATGAATGAAACATGTCTTTAGAGGTCAAAAGGTCAAGTAAAGGTCATTGCTTTGTAAAATTTAAGAGAAGTTCGATAAAAAAAAAAATAATGGAAATGACTAAATGCATTTTTCTAGTGAAAATATTGATTAAAATAATAAATTTTATTGAAATTAAAATGTTTTAGAAAAAAGAAAAAATCACTTAAAAATGTGTCTTAAATGATTAAAAAAATATTTTAATATAATATTTAAAATATTTTATATTAAAATTATATTAAAATATTTATTTTAATTTTATTTATTATTAAAATATAATATTTTTATTATTATTTATTTTATTTTATACAACATAAATTTTTTTCGTTTTTTTATGCTAAAATGATGCAGTCAATGGTTTAAATTATAACAAAACACATAGGAAAACCACAAAGATCGACAAAAATGTAAACTTCTAATTTTAGAATTTATTCGCTGTTATTCGCTATTTTGTCTCATTTTAAATGTTACGGTAAGCAACTGAGATTGATTCGGTAAAATGATTATTTTAGACCTAAAATTCCATTAAATGAATTATTTTAAGATACTTTGGGATGATTTGATGGCTGGCTAACGCTTATATCAAAACAAAATTTTGCCAATGTTTTGGAAATAATGTATAAAATATTGCGCTTCTAAATTTTAAATAAAAAATCTTGAGACGATTGTTGTTCTTCGATAGATAGGTATATAATTCCGGATGATATATGACTGATGTGGGTTTGATTAGGGTGGCAGGTTTTTTTTTATGGGTGATTCATAGGCTAAATCGGGAGTGGGTCGGGTTATTTAATCTTATTTTATGTTTGCTGCTTCAATTTTTGCCTAAGAATTAAACTCATCGTTTTCCCAGGTCTTTTCATAATTAATCATTTTCGAATTTACAGGTATTTTTTTCAATGGGTAAAAAACGGAAATCGAGTAAAATCAAGTCGGGACAAGGCGATGTAATAACGGCTCCCAGTCTTCCACTCGATGAACAAATTGAAAAATCGCATTTGGAGAGTCAACGAAATTTTTGTCGAATAAAAGAGCAGAGAATGCTTAAAAGAAATAAGCCCGATGATGGAGTTAGCTTTTCATTGTTTTTTCTCTGCATTAAGAAATCTTGATTTTTACACATTTCTATTCTCTAAGCGCGCTTAATCTCGCCTTCTTCGCTTATCACACCAGGCAAATTTTCGCAAATAAATCTCCACAGTTGGACTTTTAAAAGGCAGCTTCACTCTTGCCGCAAGTAGAATCTGAATATTGGCGCCCCAGCAACATGGTACTTCTTGAGTCCTTCTCGGCACGGCATTGGTAATTTCTCCTGTTGGAATAAATTATCTAAAGATTTTATAAAAATTTATGTTTAGTTCTTTCTTTATCTACGTCTGAAATTATCTAAAAGTTATTGCTTCATCTGTATATTTCAAGCGATATTCAATACTTTCAATAAATTCGCTTGTTGTTTCAATTTATAAATATAGCAGCGTCTGTTAATTCTCGTACTCGTATTGTTTTATATTTTTTATATTTCTTAGTTTCTAAGCCATATAAAATTCCATATGTTTTTCTTTCCCTGTTTGGTCATTGTTTTTAATTCAATATTTGAACAAATAAATTTCGGAAAAATGCCTAATGAAAAATTATAACGAAAAATCATTGCTTTTTTTTGTGTATGATTCTAGTCTAACTGTTTTAAATTTTCCAAAATTCTAAACTTTATTTCTTTTTTTATTTTGTTTTTTCATTTAATTTGATTTTTTAAACTCTATTTTGACTCTAAATTTTGATTTTATTTTAGTATATTAGTGGAGATCTTTCGGCAAAAATCTTAAAGGTGGCGCGTGAACAACGCTTAATGGAAGAGGAAGAAGAAGAAAATGGAGAAAAAGATGATAAAAATGAAGAACTAGAAAGTTGCGATGGAATTAGTCTGTCGAAGCGGTGAATTATTTCTTATTTCTTATTTATTAGAGTTCAAATTTTGAAAATTATTCAGATAATAAATTGCAGTGTTTGTCTTCTTTTGACACGTGAACTTTAAAGAATTTTAGAAATCGATATGTAAGTTTGGGTGGAATCTCAATGGCATCAGTATCTGATAGCGAAAAATTCGTTGATATTGATTATACTGATGACGTTGTGGTAAGTTATTTATTTATTTCTCTATTTTGTCAAATGTTTTTCTTATTTAAAGTTTTTTTTCATTTTGTACTACTTAATTTAGAATGTCGATCCAGAAGAAGAAGCAGCTCTTGAAAAATTTTTGGTTAGAAAGGATGCTTCTGCTCAAAGAACTCTTTTTGATATTATCAGTGAGAAGATTGATAAGAAAAAATGGGAAATGGAAACGCAACTATCGCAAACTAGTGCTGATGATATTGTGGTATTTTTTGAAATTTATTCATTGAATAAAACAGAAATCAATTTAAATTTGAAGAATTATTATTATTAAAGATGGCCCTTTTTATTTTCCAAAAAGAGGAAAAAAGGTAAAATTGATGCTAAAGTTGAAATAATCAGGTGCGTGAAATGGATCCTGGTGTAATCGATATGTTTCGACAAATTGGCGCACTTCTTTCGACTTACCGAAGCGGGAAAATTCCGAAAGCTTTCAAAATAATACCAAAAATGATTAATTGGGAACAGATACTTTAGTAATTTTATTCATTGTTTCTAGCGGAATTCTGTAATTCTCATATAAATGTTTTGTTAAAATCCCTGTGGAATTAATTTATAGTTTGACAAATCCAGATAAATGGTCTGCGGCTTCAATGTATCAAGCTACTCGACTTTTCGCTTCTAATCTGAATGTAAAAATGTGTGAGAGGTAAGTGAAAATTTATTTATTAGTTTCATCTCTCTCTAATAATAGCATTTATTTTTAGTTTAACTAGCACTGACTATTAGAATGGAGATGTAGAAGTATGATCTTTTTTTTTTATCATCAATAGATCTATATTAATAGATCTATATTATCTTAATAGATCTATATTAGTTCGAACACTTTTATATTTAATTATATTATTCGAAACGTATTAGGGGATTCTTTTTCTGCCAAATTTCCAAATAATTTTTAATAGATCTTTTTTGATCTAAAAATTGGCAATTTTTTTGCAGGTTTTACTGTATGGTATTGTTACCTCGTCTGCGCGATGATATTGACGAATATAAGAAATTAAACTTTCATCTCTATCAAGCATTGCATAAGGCTATGTATAAGCCTCAAGCATTTTTTAAAGGAATAATTTTCCCTCTTTGTGAGGTATTCATTTTTTCAATTCAATTTTTTTCATTTTCATTTTTTTCAAATTTTCGTTTTTCAATTTTTGCTAAACGAGAATTCATTTTCTTCAAGATCTTTTTTTAAAAAACTCGTTTTTTTTATTTTTATTTCTTTTTTATTTCCTTTATTTTGTTAATATTTAGTCAGGAACATGTACTCTTCGTGAAGCTGTTATATTCGGTTCAGTATTAGCTAAAACATCCATTCCTATTTTACATGCTGCTGCAGCTATGATGAGGGTATTCTCTCTAATTTATTTGTTCTTATAATTTCCACAATGTGCTTAGCATTTGTCCATTTTCTTGCAATAATATAACTTTATTTTTAAGTATTAAAAATATAAAAATAAAAATATTTATGTATATTTTTCAAATAAAGCATTAAAAAATCAAAATAATTATATGATAATTATAATAATAGTAATTTTGGTTTATAAAATATTGATAGAAACTTTATAGATCGCTGAAATGGAGTATTCTGGTTCAAATTCATTATTTCTTCGTATATTGATTGATAAGAAATATACATTACCTTATCGTGCTATTGATTCACTTTTAAACCATTTTCTAAGGTTATTCTTTTCTTCTTAAACAGGCCTTAAAGATAAAATTTTCACTCCACCTTGGCAATGTTTTTTATTCAGATTTCATGATGAGGAGCGAAAGCTTCCTGTCTTGTGGCATCAGTCTTTACTGGTATTTGTTCAGCGCTATAAAGGTGAGATGAACAAAGAACAACGTGACTCGTTATTGGGACTTCTTAAGGCCAGTTTTTTCGTTTCATTTAGCTTCTATCCTTTTTTTACCCTTTTAGTATATGTCATTCTTATCTGGATGATTATAACTCAAATGAAATATTACCATACCTAACCCACTTCTTTTAATAGTGTTTATTATTTTCTTTGGAAAATTTATACATTTTTTTTTCATATATAGCAAGAATCGAGATAATAATACTCAAGTATTGCCGAGATACATTGATAGATCAGACAAGATCAGTTAATCTATGATATAAATATTAATATTATAATATCAATTGATCATTAACATAGAAATATATTAAAATATAAAAGTTAATTACAATATAGAAATATGATTAAGGAATAAATTTAAATATAAATTCAGGTACAAAATCATTATCAAATCACCCCGGAGATTCGAAGGGAATTGCAAAGTTGCGAACCTGCAAGGGAGTCATTTAATGATGTTGATTTCGAACAAATGGAGTCATAATTTGATTTTTGATAAAACTATTTTCCTGTACTTTGGAAATTTGTAAATTTTGAACCATCTACGAAGTGCATTGTTAATTTAATAGCTAAATCGAATTTATCAGACATATGACAGGTGTTTAATTGTTATTTCATTATGGATTTTTTTTTCAATTTGTTAATTCTCATTCTCATAAAAAAAATAAAAATTGATAAATTGCTATATAACCTTATATATATTATTTGTTGGTTCTTTTGACCAATTTCCTTTTGTTTTAAGTCTTTTACCAAGTTATTGTTTGAAAAAATTCTATGGGTTTTAGATTTTTTATGATATGAAGAATAAATTAAAATATTTGGTCGTAGTTGAGGGCATTAATTAATCTATTGATATGATGCATTCGTTTGGTATGTTCTTCATGATGCGATTTGGTGAAGATGCTTTGCGCAGAATTACGATACCTCTAACCAGCTTGCAGTTCACTCAAATAAGAAATCGAAGGAGGTTAGTGTTCTTCAAAATCAATTCCTCAATCTATTTTTTTTTACAATAATTGGATAATAGTAATTCGAAATAATTTGGATCATTTATGCAATGCAACTTTTTCATTGAGAGAAGTTTTATTTGGCTAAAATTGTTTTCATTCAGCTTTATTTGGCTAGAATTGCTTTTAAAAGGTTGCAGGTGCTTTTTTGGCATGCTTTAGTTATTTTTGAATTTTGTTTTGTTCCATTTTGTTTTTTGTCCATTTCTCTTTCTAAATTATTTTTTCAGTTTTTTTTTAGTCATATTTTAAGGTGCTTTTAGAACACTTCGCTTGCCATTTTGGATTCCAAATAAGAATGATAAAACGCTGGAATTTTTGGATCCTGAAACCAGCAAACTGTATGAAGAAGTCTTAAATTATGAAAAAAACGGTTGGTTTTTTTTCATTATTCCTTTTTTCTTTATTCCTTTATATGAATGGGAGTTAAATTGCTTCAAATTGCTTTTTCTTTCTAATTTTGTTCATTTAAAATAATTGTTACATTGTAGCTTCACAGAATTAATCAGATATTAATTTTTTTCATGATTAATGTAATATAATTTCATTTTGACTTTTTAGGTATTCTGCCGGCTTGGGCAAATTCGAATGTGTCACCACTTATATGTGGTAATCGATTAATAAATGATTATAAATCACGAGTTTGGACTCCACATTCGAAACGTACTGGTTTATTAGCCAGGAAAATTGGAATGCTACCACAGTGGCTTAATGATGGTACTCGTGTGCTGTGTACTCTCCTTGAATTTCCTCAAAATCAGGTCGTTTCTGCTGTTGATCCTGACTCGTGGTATAGGTTAGTCATTTATTTCATCAGCTGGAATTTGATATTAAATCTTATATAATATCCATTAAATAAGAGCATATTTTTCTCCTTAGGAAAAAAATTTTCGAATCTCTTTTCCTTTTTTTTTAAATAAATGAAATATGCAGTTCAAGTCTCGTGGGGAAACGTAAAGCATTTGGTAAATACGGGCCAATGTGGAAAATAACTGTAGGAGCTGTTAATGCGAATCCATTAAATTTCACATCTACATATCGAGCTATATTTGATCGCGCAGGTCATTATTTTCATTTTCTACTTTACTATTTAAATTAGTCCATTTCTTCTGTATTTATTAAAAATTCGCAGCATTTTTGTTAGATTGATTTTACAAGAGTGAAGCGCTTCGTAGTCTATTGTCCGGTAGTATATTTAAATCTAAGTCCATATCTGCCTTTGCTTTCAAAATGAGTGCGTCACCCCATTTCTTGATTGATCTTCCCCACCATACATCATTGTGGTTTCATACTTATATGATGGGCAGTGGATAAAATGGGCTCACTAACCTTTTATAAGGACTAGTATATAAGGATATTTACATAGATGGTACTTAAGCGACTTAAGCGAAGATGAATGAATGTGATTTTATCCTTTTGTAGTATTTATCTTCAGAAAGAATGGTCAAAATTTCTACTGCTCTGGATTGCCTTGACTAATAATCCAGTCTTAAATATGGCAATACACATAAATTTATGCTGTTGCCCTTATATATCAAATAATTTTCTCTGGAATATTGTCGCATTCTGTCATCCTTCAGAGCACATCTATGAGGTGAATAGATACTTTGTAGAGTCTCAATAATTACGCCCTTTCACCTTTCTTGGATTGAATTTAATGATAGTTTTTGTTTAAAAGGATACATGAAGACCATCTTTTTTGGGGGTTTTGTTTCTTATTCTTTTGATAGCTCGGTTGCAAGATATTACTCGAACAGCACATCAGTTATGTCGGAGAGGGCTCCTTCCGGTGTGAGGTTGCCTTTTAGTGCTCCATCGTGTATCCAACTTTATCTCGGATTTCTTTATCTTGTTTAATTTGTCGAATTATGGTTGCATTATGAATAAGGCGAAATAGTTTTTGTAAATATCGTTTGTTCAATCTTTCTTCAGAGATTACTCTAATAACTAATTTTTATTCTGCCATTGTGCTATTAACTTGTTGTAATGGCCTTTTCGGACATTTGGACCATTTCTTCCAATGCTCAGTTAGTAAGTTAGCGCTTATTCCAACGTAAACTAGGTCGACATAGAGACCATGATTTAAATTGCAAACAAGGTTAAGAAAAGCAAATGAAAAGAGGCTAAATATTGTTTATCGATGTTATTTTTTGTTGTTATATATTTTATTACATGTTATTTTTTGGTTCACCAGTTGATTCAATTTTCAATTATGATTTATAATTGAATTATAAATATGATTCATTAAAATAACCCCTCTTATCTGTACTATTTGTTTACAAATTGGAAATTTGTACTATTTGTTTACAAACTGGAAATTTTTCTCAATAAAATTTATTGATGAAATGAGATGAGATTAAAAAACCATTTTCTATTTCGAGATATGTTGTAGTAAATGCATGCATCCAGGCAGATCTAGTTTTCGTAAGATTATATTTTTATGTGTTACCTATTGTAAAATAATTAATGTCTTTTTAATCTATAGGCATACCAGTTAAAGAACATTTGGGTAGCTTTTTGGTAACAGAAGATGCAGTTCTTGCTGCTGGTACTCCTCTACATGTTTGCCACTTTAGCGTTGGTCAACATATAACAGCAACTGGAAAGACTATAGACTGGGGATTCCAAGGTGTTGTGCATAGATGGGGAATGAAAGGTCAACCCGGATTATCGTATGCATTTTTCTGCTTCATTTTTGTTTTCACTTTTTTTAGTAAGATATTTTCTCTGGAATATTGAATACACTTTAAAATATTGTTGAATTTTTGAATTTTTAATTTTTTTCGGATTATTCAAATTTTTATGTTCATTTATTAAGGTAATTCTGGAAAATTTATTCATTGCAGTTCGTTTCATCATTTTTAATCTTAGGTACATTCTTTTTTTCTATTTTTTTAACTGGTTTAGGCCAACTAAATCTCATCGTCGTGTTGGATCCATAGGATCCACTGGAGATGCTCGTGTATGGCCTGGCAAACGGCTACCTGGCCATATGGGGTATGAGTGGCGTTTAATCTCTGGACTCGAAGTACTACGAATTAATCCTTTAAAACAGGTCAGTATAAATAAAGAAGATGAGGAAAAAAAATGAATGATTTCCTTTTCAGGAGAAGGAAAAATATGTAAAAAATTACAAAAAAATATTAAGAAACAATAATCAATTTGCTTAGCATTTCCTCTTGTTATTGTGTAATCTTAAACTCTATAATTCTATAATTCTTTTCTCTATAATTCTATAATTCTTTTAACTCTATAATTCTTATTGTTAAATTAAATTTGAGAAGTTAAGAACACATTAATTTTTGCAAATAATAAAAATATGCTTTTTCAGGTTATGTATATCAAAGGAAACGTCCCAGGTGAAGTAGGAGATATCTTATTAATTAATGATGTTCATAGAGATGAAAAACATGAAAAGCATGTTCGGAATCCTCCTTTCCCGACTTATTTTGCAAACAAAGGTGAAGAGAATATTAGTAATGATGAGAAATCAGGGATGTATAGTGGTGATGTTTTTGTTGCGACAAATGGAGAAATATTTGCCAAAAAATTGTTCAGGTACTACGATTAAAACTCATCAAATTCCTAGTCAGTTTTTTTTTCCATTCTTTTTCACCTTTTCTAAGAGCGTCCACGGTTACTATTTAATTTTATTCCACTGGCTTGTCGGACCATACAAATTTTTCTGGGGAGGATAGCGATAGAAGTACAAGTGAGTACAAGTACCCAACATTGCTAGGATTTTTGAAAGATTTATTCTTGATGGTTAAGTCTCATCTTCAGGACTTTGAAATGAGGGTTCCAATCCTTTGAACTGTTCAATTTATCTTTCCATGTTTTTAATTATGCTAATATTATTTAATTTAGGTTCTCTAGTCCATCAATAGTTTATACTGAAGCTGATGCGACTAAAGTGGCGACAAGAGACAGATCTCGCGCCAAAATTGCCAAGGCTAAGAAATAAAATTCTTGCAATTCTTGTAATATTATATACGACTAAATTTAGTTGTTTTATTCTTTATTTTTTTATTATATATTTATGAAAAAAATTGTTTGAAATTTTTTTCTATGATTATAGATCTTCAGGAAAAGGATGTATTTATTAGCTATTACTTTAATATTTATTTAAAATTAAAAAAAAATTTAAATGATATAGAAGATATAGAATGATAAGAATTCTTTAAATATAAAAATAAACGACATCAAATAGAGTATTCAATAGAACGTACCACTCTATTGAAAATTCTATAAAAATGTGTTTTATTAATTTGTATTTAATTTTAATTAATTTAGAATAATTTTGTCGGTTAGAATAAGCTTCTTAATTCTTGATTAATTATGATGGAGATTTGTTCATTGAAGATTTTCATGGTTGAATTGTTATTTTTGTTTAAATAATTATTTATAAATGAAAGAAAATCTTTTGATAAAGAAATCATTGGCTTCAGTCGTAGTGAATTGATATGCAGTGGTTTCATATATGAAATTATGATAAAAGATAATAAATTGCGTTTGATGAGCTTAAGAAAGTACTAGCATTAAAAACAAATTTTTTATCTGTTTTTTGCTATTTTTAATACGATAGAATGCAATTTATGAAATGATAGCGAATATTGGCAAAAAAGTAAATATGCACTTTCTAAATATTTTTAATTTCCTGGTTTTTTATCCATATTGATTTATAAATATTTTTAAATATTAAATATTTAGAAGAACCAAGCAGAATAAGCACCATTCTTGTATTATTGATTTTTATTAGAATTCGCTGGAAAATTTTGATACGATGATTTCTTATCGTTTTTTCCATTTTGCTGATATATGAAGATATTTTGCAACATTTTGTTTTGAAATTTTACTGATATGATTTTGCAGAAATTTTATTGGGTATCATTGCTATGAAGCCAGCAAGATGCAGTGGGTGGGATATTCGGGTGATTTATTTGTAGGGTGGGTGTTGTGGATGTTTACATTTTTCCAGGAAAATCTAGTCGAAAAAAGGTTTCACTTTTTTTTATCAATTTGATTGATGCTTTTCCAGTATTTCATTTTTATTTTTTATAGATTTCATTCACATTCAAAATAATTTAAATGTAATAGTTTTAAAATTTCGCCCATAAATATAGGCTTGTGATATGGTGAGAACTGCCAAAGAACAAATAACACGGCCACCAAGAGCTATTTCAGCAGCTCGACTTCCTCATACTGTTTTACTGCTTATTTTCGATTATGTCGGTTTGAAGAATTTATCGGCGTGCATGCGCGTGTGCAGACATTGGTGGGCCGTGCTGCAACATCAAGTATAATCTTATTTGTATTCATATTGCAAAATGATGCGATGCGTCAAACTATAAAATGCTTTTTCTTATTGTTTAATTTGCTATTATTACTTTTCAACGTCTAGGTGATTTTTCTTGTTTTCCATGAGACTGGAGGAAAATCAATTTTGCAGAAAAAAACTGCAGAAACTGCAGAAATCATTTCTGCAGTTTTGCAATTTTTTATAACTATAAAAAAATATTTTTTATAGTTATAAAAAATTTTAGGATAGTTTAGTATGGGAGTCACTTGCAAGAAGGATTTTACCCAAAGAGGCGCAGCATGATCCTTGTCTTTTATCTGAAACTATCTCATCTATGGAAAAAATACGAGCTTTTTATTTTGCATGGAATCCGAATGATTGCTCAAAGTATGATTTAATGGAATTCAAGTTCATCGTTTTTTTTGTAAAAATTTTTTCCATCATAGTTAATGTAAATAACAATGATTGGCTTTTATTTCTTATTTTCTATTTTGAATATTGGTTGTATGAAAAAAGAGAATTAGAATTATATGCCATATCAGCCATATTCTTTATCTTTATACGGAATTTTTTCAATGAAAGATCTGGAATAAGAGGCGAGCCATGGCGCATGAAATAGGCATCCTTGGCTAGAATCGTGTTAAGAATTTGGTTAAATATAGTTAGTTGGTTAATATATCTAATTGTTGGAAGAGCAAAATTCCTAACATCAAAAATAATGGATGGGGTGCCATTAAAAATGGAAAATGAGGAACATAACTGCTGCTGGTAATCCACCTCTATTTCAAGGATCATTAATGAAAAACAAATTGATTATAAAATTTTCTGTTTAGAAACAATTACGTGAGAACTAATGGCTTCACAGTGCATCGAAATCCAGTTGCACAAAGCACTGATGGAATTCGAGGTTTGAATATTGTTGTATTTTCTATTTAGTGGTATATATACTTGAAATAAAAATAAAAAATGTGGAAAATGAAAAAAAAGTCTAGTAGGCCAAGTGACCTAGTGGTATATTATTTGGAATAAGACCAAGCATCATAAGTTTTTGGCTCTTAATTAGAAAAAACATCATTAAAAGTGAAATTCAAGTGGGGACCCATATATATTCCCTAAGTGGCCATCCAGCAAATTCTAATGTTCAAAGCCGAAATATTGAATTAAGATAAGAAAAAAAACAAATCAAGTTGATTAGACTAGTATTGAAGCCCTAAGCACAAGCTTTTGCACTCAGCTTTTATGATCTTCGCATGATAGCATTTAAAGTAAAACTTTATTTGATTTCTGATTTTTTCAGTGTTGATGAAAGATAAGGGATATAGAATAGGAGGCGAGCTATGAAGTAGCAGTCTAATCATTCTTGGTTAGAAAACTCAATTGTAGACCTCTACAGCAGGTGTAGAGGGAGTGAATGTTATTTGAGTGGGGAAAAACGATTTCTTTTCTAAACAAAAAGTAGTATTTTTTTTGATTTTTTTTCAGGCAAAATTGGCGTTAAAAGTGGTATACATGCATGGGAATTTATTTGGGAAGGACCATTGGGCACTGTTGCTTGTATTGGAATGGCAACAAAGTAATTCTTATAACTGAAAACCCTTTCAGTTATTGGATTTTTTGTTTTAATGAAATTTTCGACTGAAAAAAAAATGATTACAATTTATTTTCAGGCATGCGGCTTTACATTGTCAAGGATATGTCGCACTTTTGGGTAGTGATGACCAGAGTTGGGGTTGGAACTTAGTTGATAATCAGTTGATCCATAATGGTGCACAAATAAGTCCTTACCCAAGAATTAATAACCCTCCAAAGTACCAGGTGAATTATATTCCCATATTTTACATTATTTTTATTCTGAAGCTCTATTTTTTCCAACTTTTATGAAAAACTTGTTTTTCAATAGAAAAATTTGAATAATTGTAAAATTATTGTTTAATAATCAGATGGGTGAGCGAATTCGTATGGTGATTGATTGCGAGAAACATATGATTTATTTCGAAAAAGGAAGTGAATTTCTTGGTATAGCATTTTCAAAATTACCACCGCTTAAATTATTTCCCGCAATGTGTGCTGTATATGGTAACACCGAAGTATCTATGGTCTATTTAGGACCTCCACTACTCGGTTAGCTATATATTCATCATCGGCCTCGCGCTACATCATCATTCCCTTGACCTAAATGAAGAACTGGTCAATTCTTTCTTCTTTGTCTTTCTGATAATCTGGTTTAACAAGTGTCACGATTTACTATAGTTTGGTAGGAAATAATGAAATTTTCTACTTGTTTGTACAACGTAAAAAATTTTAACGATATTTTAATATCTGTTTTGATTCGTTCCCATCAGTCTCTTAGGATATTTATCTTTTTTCATGTAATCGTAATTTGTCTTAATATAAATTAAGAATTTCTAATACGCAAGTATTTGTTAGAAGCGAATTTAATACGCTTTCATGCTTCATGCTTTTCTGGTTCGATTGATTGAAAAGCGTGATTTTAATTTATTCCAACCACTGCTGTTTAATGCCAAATATGTTTTTTCTTATCTATTTTTTCCTTCTTATTCATCATTTTTAATCCTTTCAAGATCCGACTTTTGTAATAAAAAGTAATAAGTAAAAATAAAAACATAAATAATATAAATTCTTTTAAAAAGAAGTTTAAAAATTTTATTATAAAACCTTTGAAAAGCGAACAAAAAAAAAATTTTGTGCACTGTGAATCAGGTTTAAATTGAAGCATGCCGCATAACATAAAAACGTCATTTTTAACAATGATGATATGATATTAGCGGCAAATTATAAATTATCTGAATAAGTATGAAGACATTTCCTGACATTTTTGTTGTCAATCCTAACATCAAAAAATCAACAAAAAACTTCTACGAAATGGAATTCGTAGGGAAAATAATGGAATAACCAAATAAATAGATGTAAAAAACGTTAAAAAAATTCGTTGTGTTAAAATAAATTCCATCACGTGTAACAAGGAAAAAAAAAATTGATGAGGCTGACTGATATCATTTTTCAAAGAAAAATGCCAAAAATCTAATGAAAAATGAAACAATCATTTCTACCCTTATAAAAAAAAGTTCAGCCAAAGTTTTTTTCTGTTATAACAGATCAGATATACACGTGATGAACACCGATAAATGACAAAGGAAAATGAATAAACAATATGTATATATACGCCCGATGGAGGCATAAAAAAGTTATCTGATAACTCTTGTCAGCTGAATCACTTTTCGCTGAACAAAGTCACTCTTCGGTGATGACCAACGTTCGAAAACATCAAATTTGCCCTTCACTTTGATCAAATCAATGAATTCTGGCAAACTTCCTTCATGATGGAAATATGACATTCGTGACGAAAAAATGCTATAATAGTTTGTTCGTATTATTTCCAACCGTCAGTATAAATGCTTCGACATTTTATTTTTAAATCAAAACAACTTCAATAAAAATAAGAAAACCAACCATAATCCATCAGGTGTAAGCAAATAATCGATTATGTCATGCAATTCTTCATAACTGAACTTATCCGTATTCAAATATTCCGATGCGAGGATAATATCGAACCTTAATTAGTGCAAATAAATTTAGATCAATTTTTTCCAATTTTTCGATAAGCCCCAATTCTAATAAATAATTCTAAGATGACCAAGCCAAAATTGTCACCTGTTTTGATCAGTTGATTTGCGTAAATCACTGAATTCTCCAAAGATTAATCTTTTTTGTGTTGGTTTCACCTTATTTCTCGCGAGAGTTGGCTTTACACAATCATTCATTATTATCTCTTCCTTAAATAAATAAATTAACAAATTATTCTAGTGTATTTTAAATACTTTTTATTTTAAAAAGTAAAAAAATGGAATTGAATAACCGCTATAGCAATATTCTATTCTTCTATAATACTTACAAAATTTTAATCCACATCCTAAAAATGTGAAATGTGAAATGGACAGTCTGATTTAATGAGTTACCATTGAGAAGAGAGTAACATGTGCAGCTCTGTTTGTTAATGAAAACACCGACGGTAATCCTGTGCAAAAACCCATCTGAAAATTTTAAATAAAGAATCAAATCTATAAAATTCAATTTCTTTTCTATAGGGATTAAATATTTAAAAAAGAAAATAATGGAAAAAAACCAAAGAAAAACGTGAAATACAAATAAGATAATAAGAATTCTAATGAAAATTTTTTCTCTATTATCACCTCCGAGATAGATAGAATGGCTTAGAGATTTATTGCTCTCTTTTGGAACATCAATGTTCAAAATTCCACTATACCTTTGTTTCAGAAGTCGGAAAAGCAATATATACCTCTAACGTTAGGCACACTCTCTAATTCCGATCTCTAAGAAAAATTCCGATAAGACAGTGAAGCGAGCCTAACTAGAGCTAGAAAAAACGTAAAACTACCTCGAGAATACTTTTTCCAGCCACCAATGATTCTGATTCGTATTTAAAAGCAGTATCAAGTGCTTGACATAAAATACTTACACCTTCCCAATCGTCGCTTCGATCATTTTCTTCAATTCACAAATTTTTTACTTTCAATCATTTATAATTGAGCATTATTAAAATAGATTTAAAAGTTTTAATTTTGAGGGATCTGTGGAATTAGATGGGGAAGAATTTTATTAATTTTTAATTAAATTTTAATTTACATTTCACGAATGAAACCGCAGCAATACAAGCGATGACCAATAAAAATGATGCAAATGATGACGAACAAGCGTTTTCATATAATTTTATTTCATCACGAAATTATTTGTAGAAAAGATCCACAAGCTTCACCAGGCTGCCAGGAGAATCCATCCATAAAAGAAAAAGATGAATCCATACTTAAGATTTGTTAAGACAAAAAACTAACGATCATATGTGCTGATTTTACGAACACGAGCGCCACTATAATATGGATCGTTATTCGGCTTTCCAGGTAAAGCATGTGCTGGTGCAACATATCGTATGCATCGTCCTGATTCCAGTTCAAGCTCACAGTTTGTTGTTGCAGTCGCCGTTTTTGTTGTTTCATTTGGCTTTTCACGCTCGAAGAAAACCATTTTTTTTTAGAAAAAGAAAAGACACAATCCCACAAGAATTCTCTGCAATTTATTATTTTATCTTTCGAAAAAAAAAGAAACCAAACTAAAACTTTTCTCACCAATCGCCATATGCCGATTGTCACCTCTCCATTTGTCACCATTTAGAAAAAAAAACAAACAATCAGCAGATATCACACAATAAGCAGTTTGTAAGGAAATGTTCTTCACCTAACTTAATTTTTTCATAAAAGAATTTTTTTGTTTGATAATAACTGAATTTCCTTACATACTGCGCAAAAATTCAAATTCACGCACGATACACGTATTTATCACCTATCACTATCGCCACTGTCGCCATTGTAATCACCATCACCTTCTTATCACTGTCATCATCACCAACATTATCATTAAAACTCGCATTAATCTCAAAAAATTCAAAAATCTCCTCTGCAAAGGCATAAAAAAATTTAAAATAAAGGTTTAACTATACCTCGTTTAACCATCGATCCAAGAGAGAATATATCCAATATTAAAAATTCTCTCCTGACAATTAGGAGGTTTTGCGTTTTTCCACTTGTGTACATTATTTTATAAAACTGGATATTTAACAGCCATTAAAATAAATCAAAGTAAAGGGGAAGGAAAATATTACAATCTAAAGGAGACGGATGATATCGGAATTGCAGCTATGAATTACTTCTAATAAAAGACCACGAATGGAGAAAGAATCAGGTTTTCACAATATACACCCAAATCAATCCACTCTGACTTCATCTCTCCACTCCAATCTCACCTCTTATCAATCCGTACTCAATGGTAAACCAGCCCCCTTGCATTCCGTTTCTTATTAATCCATTCATTTCCATTTCAATACAATATTTATCATTTAAACAGGCCAACTAAGGAAATTTAATCAAAATTTATCCAAACTATATATTTCTATTGATAATGGTTGCACTTTGGGCCACTTCTAGGCACTTTTGGAAAAGTAATGCATTTCCCATACATTTGACTCACTTTTTCTTAACAGCACACAATATTTCTGGCCTCCTTACTTAACATGTTTATTAATTTAACTAGATAAGGACATTGATAGCGACAAGGAGTCCTCCACAATTACCCACACCTGGACTTTTTAATGGTACAATCACATCAGACAGTCACTCTCTTACATTATTCGTAGTATACATTCATTTATGCTCGTCACATATAAAGGTTTCTGGCAAAGGGAACTAATGAATTATCATTCTAAAATCAACATAATCAACTCAATTCACTACTAATAGAAACTGATCTAACGGCATCAAATTTATCACTCCACATTCACCACCATACATTCATCACCATACACTCATCGCCGTACAATCACCACCACACATTCACCACCACATATCCATCTCCACTCATCCATCATGACAAAGTCGCCCACACGCATTCAACCACATCCACTTATCACCACAAAAACAACCTCGCACAACAATTCCACAACTTTCTTATCACTTCATAAACATTTATATCAAAACAACAACTTCCAAAATGCTCACATACAATCACAAATTGCGATAAATATGGAAAACAGAAGATCGAGAAGACTTACAACAAATGCAAGAGAAAAAGGAATTTAAAAAAATTCATTGGAAGATTTAAAGATTCCTGAAAATTCATTTTCATTCATTTGGCATAAATCTAATGTTTTCTAAATTACTTATATTTTATTTTTTGTGCTGTTTCACCGCACTTCCATACTGTAAAATAATAATATATAACGACAACAAAAATGATAAGAACGATGGTTAAGATAAGAATGTTAAAATTTTGCATCGACGTGGTCACTGCTGTCGCTGTCGTAATTTGGTCAGTCACATGGCATTGGGAATGAATTATAATCGGGTCACCCACTACCATTCCTTCGCCTTCTGCATCAAACTATTGTAACCAAACAAAGTTTTGCGAATGTTGATTGCCGTACATTCTTAAATTTTCAAAAACCTCTCCTCCCTTCCTCTTCCTCTACTTCTCCCGCCACTGTCCAATTCATTTTTTTTAATCTGTAAGTTGTGAAAAATTTTTTCGCAAAATGTTCTGGCCATTAAAAATTTTATTTCCTTAAAAAAACACATTAAAATTCGAATCAAATACAATAAATGTGTTACGCAAAATTCCGGAATTCCCCACAATGAATTTCCTCACGAATTTCTTAGCCGAAAAAACCAAAAAACAACTGACGGGCAAGAATCATCCATAATTAATTAAACATTTAAAAAAATCAGTCATACGATCAAGCATTAGGCCAAACGATTAACAAATGCTCCATTGCCATTAACCAATCAGCCAACAAGTAGGGTAGCATTCAGGCTAAATTACAACAAATTTATCATCAACAAAAAAGACACAGAAAAAAAAGAAAGGAGAAACGGTCGCAAGACCCCCGCGTATCAAATTGCTGATCAAATCGCGCAAAGGTCTCCACAGTATTTTTAATTTTTTTTTTATCCAGAATTGTTCTGTTTTGCAATGAGAATAACTGGAAATATTATTAAACACAAAAACAAATAATTAAAAAGTAATAATAAGAATAATATTAATAATTAGGAATGTGGCAAAAAAATTTAGCCGCCAAGACACAAATAAATTTAAATGAAAAAACAGTCGAGCGAGCCATAAAATTAATTGAATGGCTAAGGAAAAAAAATAAATATTCTCGCAAAACAGACAAAATAAAAAATAAATTCATACAAAAAAAACTCACAAAAAACATTGATTAACTAACAACAAAAAAAAACTCACATTTTCACTCATTCAATAAATTTCTCATTTCTCACATTTTCGTTTAAATAACTTTAATATTATAAAACTACAAAATAAAAAAAACAAAACACCAACCTTTTACAAAATTTCAAAACGAAGAACCACGAATCACTACCAAGAATGAACGCACGAACAATTCTGTAAACCGACCGATCGTTACCAACTATACGATAAACAATGAGAAAACATTAGAGCGCGCGTACATATTTATAGAGAGAAGTTAGACGCACGCAGAGATCTATGTTAGACATTTGTGGAAATATTATGGGTTTCGAAGAGAGATGCCGCTAGGCTATAAAGCGACAAAGCGACGGGACTTAACGGAAATATTTTCGGATATGGCCAAGGCGACTTTGCAGCAATATATAAAAAGATAAATTAAGGACAACGAACCCAAAAAAATGATTATCATTTTTCGATTTCGATTTACCATTGTTAGATCGAATAAAAATTTCATAATTATTGGAAATTGATAAAATTAAATTTAATTAAATTAATAAAAATAAAAAATCGAAAAAAAAAATTAGAAATTTCGAGCAGAGAAAAAATATGAAATTCTAAAATTCGAAAATTTAGAATTCAGTGAAATAAATAAATAATAAATGGACCGAATGGACCAAAACATATATAAGAAGGTATAGGTCGTGGGAAAACATGGCACTAGACGGAGGTATTTCCCAATGCAAGAAATTTTCCCACGATCATAAAAAGGTGTTTACTTCTAATGTTGGAAAAAAAAATTGATATTTCTTAGGATGAGTCTCGCGAGATTTTCTATATTGCTGCAAAAACAAGTATCCAAATCAACAATTCGAAATAAAAATAAACAACTTTCCGTGCAATCTTCGCAATTAATTAAGGCGAATCTCAACGGAGGATAGGGGGAAAGAGGAATGCGAAGAGCGGGGAAAGTGGGAGGAGGCTGCGGGGTTTTTCATCTCAGAACTAGCAAAAACAATGAAAATAATAAACTATCTATAAACAGCCAAATTTATGATCGCTGAATCCTCATAAAATTGCAATAAAATGTATTAAATTTAGAAACACGTGCTTATCGGGGAAATCCCTGCAAAATTTCAAATTATTTTTCAAAACAATATTTTTGCAGAACTCCTCGATATAATAATAATAAACGCTGCGGGAATTGATTTATCGATTCGCACTTGTTTATCATTATATTCTTATCGCATGACCTTGCAAAAATAAATTAAAATTGACCTCAAAATTCTTTTATAATATTTATAAAATACATAAATAATATAAAAATAAGTAATAAATTTACAAAATAAAAAAAATGCCTAAAAAATCTTATTTTTTATTCACAAATAATTTAAAAAATTGAGTTTTTTGCAAAAATTTTTAATAAAATAAATTTATTAAAATCATTAGGAAAAACCTATCGAAACCACTTAAAACAACAAATGAATAAAAAAAAAAATGATAAAAATTTTTTCAATAAAATTTTTACAAAAACATTATTTCCTCGCATCAAAAGCCAAATGCATCTTGCAAAAAATGTATATAGCGTTGGTTTCTATTTTGCCAAGTGAAAATTTTTTCTTTGGCAAAAATTATCGGCCAATTCGACAAGTCAAACGAGTGGGCCTAATCAAGAATGATAAGCGCTTTTAGATAATCGAATCACCTCATTCATTAATAAAATTTTTTGATATATTCTTCCATTTTTCAGTTCAACCTTATCATTGCATTCATAATAAAAATATTATTCGAAGAGACCATAAAATTTCTCACTATTCACCTAATCAAATATAGATTTTAGCGAGAAATAACTGATAACAAATCAACTGTTAACGAAAATGAAAGACCAAATTCAATTTTGAGCATACAAATAAAATACAATTAAATACTAAAAAATAAACGACTTTCGATAAAAACTTTTAGACATTTAAGCAAATACTTCAAAAAAAAAACTGAATATAAGAGAGCATTATCATTGATTAGAAAAGTTCAGAAGTGTTTCTACTATTTAAGAAAAATGAACACAGAAAGCGTCTTTTTCAAAACAATTAAATCTTGATTAATTACTAAATTTAATGTACTACAATGGTAGTTCTACGATAATCGATCAATCATTCTGAGATTTTGGCTTAAATCTGATTGTGCTTTTCTTACAGACAAAAAATGATGATAACAATAATAAACTACGCTGCCCGAAGCATCTTTGTTGCCTTTTTTTCTGCATGAAACTGCAATTGCTCTTCAACGATTTTTTGACGCTCTTCTAAAAATTTACGATATTCAACTGGATCCATATCTTCGCGTACTACTTCAATACCAATTGATAAACTCTGCCGAATAAGATATCGACAAACATCCTGAAAAAAAAGTTTGATAAAAAACTGTAAGGAATAAGTACTTGATTTCCTCATTAATTAATAAAAAAACATAATTTTAAGCGACTATGAGGTTATTTCAAACGATGTAGATGACGACGATGAATGTTCAAAAGACAGCAAAATTTATGAACAACTGTTTGTAATGTTTGGGAATCACTAATAATTTAATCCATGGAGTGCTTAAATTTTATCATTATCATTAGTCATTTGGACATCTTTAACGAAAAAAAACTTCAAAATAATCATTCAGTTCATTTAATAATTTTTAAATTCTCTTCGTCCGCTCTATCAATTTAGAATGAACTTTTTTTGCGATGCGATGAATTCATCACTAATCCAGTCTCAATAAATAACACCGCTTTTCTATTTTGTGTTTTGCTCTGAAATTTATAATTCATAAAAATTTCGCATAATAACCTTGAGTGGAACTCCAGTGAGCATTTTGTCTTGAGATTTCACTTTCGCAATCTCATAAATATGTTTCACGGAAATTCTTCCAGCGAATTCTTCTACAATATCGTAATCTGATTGAATAAAGTGATAATGAAACTATATAAAAATATATACATAAATAAAAAAACGACAAAGTTTAAAAAAGTTTAAATTTCTGAATCAATAAAGAAAAAAAGATAAAAGGAATTAAACAAACTGTCAGGACGCTGTGATCCTCTGCCAATTCCAGCGGCTTTCATTAACAACCATGTTCCAGTTGGTGGAGAAATTTCTAGATCAAATGTACGATCTGGTTTAATATAAATCCTCGTCGGTAAATTTGTACCTAAAATAAATGGAATATCGACAGAAAATAATCTATTTGGGCATCAAAACTAGTCGACGAAATTTATTTAATAAAATATAAAAAATTTCATTTTAATAAAAATTAATAAACTATAAACGATCTATTTAATTCACCTGGCTTAATATGAGCTGTTTCTTTATTAAATTGACTGCAAAAATTCGCAACATTGATTCCACGATTACCCAACTTAGCACCCAAAGGTGGAGCAGCTGAAGCTAATTGCGCTCTGTAAATTAATAAATTGCAATTAAGTGCTTAGTTAAGCTGATTAATTTATTAATTAGTTTATTAACCAAACGAAGCAATAAACTCACTTGATATTTGTCTTCAAAAAAGCACTTTGAACCCTCTTCACAACTTCCTTTTTCCTCAGTTTACCACCGATTTTTGATGCCATTATTAAATCTCTTAAAAAAAATTTTTCTTTGATGGTATTGATGGAATTTTTCTTTAATGGATGCGAAAGACTAAAAGTTCACTATTAAACTATATTATATATCAATGGTTCCAACTGTATACAACTGTGTATACAACTTTAAATTGTGTATGGCCATGTTAATATTTACCTTTGCACTGATTAAATAAATCCACGGATATTAATTTATAAAATTCTAAAATTCCATAAAATAATTATAAATGATTATTTATGATTATTAAAATGAAATGAATTAATATTTATTAATTATTAATTTGCGTTTATAAATTATTTTAAAGAAAAGACCTATACGATTCTTTAATTTAATTTATAATTTACTAGTTCCCCTAAAACAAGTTTCTCTTCGCGGACGATTCTTGATAAACAGACTTTTTGCAAATCATAAGAATGAGGAAAATGAGCTGCTTTGCAAAACATTTCACTATAAATTGATCTGTGGCCGGTACGACACAATAGGGGGATATAATTAAATATAATTAACCTATAACCAAGCTTGATTAATAATACCAAAGCATCAATGTGCTGATCAAATCTTCAAAAAAGGGTATGTCATTCCAAGGCAGGCAATCTACCACCATTTAATCCCACTTTGCTGCTCACTTCGCTCGATCGGTAGACACTGGCATTCAAGAAGGTCAACGAGGTGTTTTAGGGAATAAGAAGCTTATTAAGATATTTACCGTGTGATGTTGCCATTATGACATTTATGACTATTCGTTTCACATACATACACATATGTATTTAAATTTCAATTTTTAATTCAACCATGCTAACGGATTTTTCATGATATTAAGAATTTTATCATTTATCATTTATTATCATTTAATATCAAAGACTTATAAAAAACAGCTCATTTTCCTCATTCATCCATTTCCCTTTGAAAGTATACATTATTCATCGAAATGAAAGTTCATGTCTAAATATAACTGCAATTCGCTCGATCTTCGCTGCGAGAACATTAAGGAATGGAATTCTAACTTTGGCCTTTGGCCACTCAGGCCTGAGATATTTTTTATGGGCATGTCGAGTGGATAAAATCTCACATGATTACATCTATTTTCGCTCAAATAACAAGTGCATCGTTCATCACATAGAGACATCTTCGCTGACACATTCTTCATTGTCCATCACAAAAATTGACATATATTTCATTATTTATTGAAACTTCCTGGAAGGGAGCATGAAAAGCAAAGAAAGCAAATCAAAACTTAGATTGATGGTCAAGGAAGATTTTAAAAATGCAGATAGACCAGCGATATATCGACTTAGATGGTAAAAAGGAAAGGCTCCTATTACTGTTGGCGATAGCATCAAATGAGCAGCTTGGAGCCGTCTTACCACAGACGCCAGTCTAACCAGTGATGAATGCTGTCGGAAGAAGATAAAAGATAGCATCGATAATTCTTCTTTCTTTCAAAGCAACTATTACCATTGATGTTATGGTTTATGTTATGATGACTAAAATGAAAAAGCTATATATTCAAAATTTCGCCATGAGCATATTGGTCCAGGTTTTGATAGGTTCTCCTCGTTTTTTACGCCATCCATTATAGGACTGGAAGTGAGAACATCAGTTTCTGTGTTGGAAAATGATGAACATAATCTAATCAACGTAAATGCATTCTGATTAAAACCTTAATGTATATGGTATTTGAACGAAAGTGAACGCAATCATGTGAGACTGCCCCCGTATTCGAACGAAAGAAAAATAGGACTGGGCAGATAACTTCCTTATGCCCCCCACTCTCATGACCATGTTTCGCAGCTATTAGGGTTTCATGCATAATGACCAGATAGACGCGAACATACGTTTTGCGATTTCTTGGTGGTACCAGACAAACTATCAATCGAAAGAACGCATCATTATACGCAGCTATTCGAAGCTATTCGAAGTGGAATTTCTACGAAATTATTCAACATGAAAGAAGCTAAAATCTCACTTATATTATTACACCAAAGTAATTCTTTCCAGAAAAGATCAGGAAGAAATACACAAGGAAAACAGGAATGATTGCTATAAAAATATCAATCACTTGCCTTTGATGCAAATTCAAACAAAGAAATAAATAGATTTTATAAACATTAATAAAAATAATGATTATAACAATTATAAAACATTAAACTTTTATTTGATTAATTAAATTTTAAATCAATAAAAATAATAAAATAATAAAATGATAAATAATAAAATAATAAAACTTCTATGGCCAAGCAATAAAAACAACGATGATAAAGCAATGATGGCAAAAGTGATAAGACAAGTGACAGTAAAATTTAATAGTAGCATTAAAAATTTTATTACAACATCACATGGATAATAACATTACGATTTATAATAATATGATGAAAAATAATGGTACTGACACCAATGATCAAATACCAAATTTTCAATGAATGGAATGGTTCAGCGTGATAATACTCGTAATTTAGAACACCGATGCTAAGGTTCTATTCCCGCAAAAATAAATCTGTTTCTTAAAAACTGATGCTGGCGATTTGGCTGTATTTCTACCATCAAATGATTCCTTGACAAAATTTTTCTGGCATGACAAGCCAGCTGGACGAGAAAACGGCTCTTAGAAAGAAAGAAAATGCATCACAAAATTCTATAAATAGTGAATTAATGAATTTAAAAAAAAAAAAACTAACGAATTCAAACGAAATTGACACTTTTGTGACAGAAAATAATTAATTCCAAAGTGATTTCGAATCAATCTAGAAAATTTTCTGAAAAATCTCCGATTATAAAATTTCGTGAATATCAACAAGATTATTCAATCCATTATCTTAGGTGGAATAATTTCGTGCCAATATTTTGTCAACGTTGTAATTCTATTTTAATAGTAATACACTCTGCATTTCGTGCAATGTTAGTGATTCAGATGAAATTTACCTAAATCTTTTCGACACGACCTATTTCCAGTCAAAACCTATTTCCAATAACCTCAGCGGAGGATGAACCAAACCAAAAACGGTACCAGAAACCAGAAATGAATGAGATTAAATGAAATTCCAACAGATTGATCAATAATTTTAAACATTACTAATGTAAATTTATACATTTTTTACAAAATTTACAAAACTTTTTATATTACAGAAATAAATCAATAGAAATCTTTTTTCGAATATGTTCGCGCTACATATTTAAACCCTCGAAAATTTCTCATTACAATAACTTCATTCGCTATCAAAATAAAAATCGGTAGTACCACTTAGGTCGACCTTTTTGAAAGCCTTAAAACATCTACCACCCCTTACACCAACAACACCAACAACACTTCTATTTTCCCCCTCCCCACATGTTACAATACTGTCAACTTTATGCTTCCTTCTGACTTGGCATGGCTCCAATGTATTCGTTTCAATATAAAGAAAAAAGTTTACAGCTAAATATTGTTTGAGCAATACTTTATCGGTGAGAAGCTGCAAATTCTAACAATAATTGCATGCAAAAATGATGGTATCATAAGAATAACAAAAATTATATAGTATTTAATCAACGTTTATTTAACAAAATTCCAATTTGCACAACAAAATCAAAATGGTACTTTGAAAATTTAAAATAAAATCGCTTCAAGACCAGAATCGGAATGGTTCTGCGCTGCGACGCGCTCCATTTTATCAATAATAACAGCACTGTTTCGCTTCTCGCTCATTTTTTTGGCTGTTGTGTGTGGAATTTATGTTTTTGAATTTTTTTGAAATTTTGGTAGATGTAGGTCGAAGTTCGAATCCTAGTTTCATAGGTCAAAGGTCACGCCTTGAAATCATCACAGATCGTTAAAGATCAATGGTTTTTTAATTATTAATTGGCATGTAAAAAGAACTTAGTAGAGGACAAGTAGAGCTTTTTTAATTGCTGCATTGGCTAGTAGTATAATGCATTTTGAGGCTTTTCGTTCTGATGTTTTTCGTGAAAGTATGAAGTCAGAAGCCTTTCTTTTGATCGTCCTCTAAGCTGTTATTGTACTGCTATTAGATAGCTGAGCTCGGCATTACGAATCGGTCTTCACGCTCTTCTAGACGAGGCATAACATAGCGAGATATGAGAGCAGAGAAAACATGGCCTAATTACCACAAATTCTATGACTGTTGCTGTTGAAGTACCAATTGGTCAGCGCCGATCGAAATCGAGGCTTGGGTTAGAATTCGTGGACCACTCTTCGTCGGGTGGCATTGTCGCCATAAGAAAAACAAAGGAAGGTAGAATGGCTTAGTGGGTTGTTGCTCGGCGCCGATACTGAGGTTTTACTTCCGGCAAGAGTAAACCTGCCCGAAAATCAGGTGGTGATCATTCACCTGTGGGGCACAAAATGTCTGCTCAAGAATGGTCGAAGAAATGGTCTGATATCAGCAACGTGGTTTAAAATAGTTTTTTGAGCTTTTTCACTGTTGTTATCCATGTTTTACAACCAGGTTTTTGTATACTGCAGATTCGAACTTTCGTTTTGGTTATTTCACGTAATAGTAGCTTTGAGCTTTGCTGGGCGGATAAAAACATCTCTGGTTGTATTTTTGTATCGCTGCCTTTCGAATTTTATCTTTTTTTTTATTCTATAAATAGCAGCAGAGTCAATGCAGTTATGAATGAGCCTACACAATTTTACTCCGGTTCTTTGGTTATTATTTATCATTTTTGTTCTTTGGTTAAACAGCGACATTTACCAGTTGTTTTTTCTTTTATTTAATTATTTGCTTATTTTACAGATTTTATTTTACAGATTTATGGATTCTTCAAATTCAAATGGTAATAATATGGTTGATCTCGATGATGTTTTAGAAATGGAACAAATGGTTTCTGAAAGTTTAACCAATACTAATAATGGTAATGAGATCAGAGGAGAAACTTCTTTAGAATTGGTTGATAACAATCAAAATTTGCAACATCAAAATATCGAAAATAGTATTCGCAGTGAATATGGACGAAATAGTCATATAATTCAAGGCAATGATGAACATCAACTTCATTCTTATTTCGGTAAATTATCGCAAAAAAAAGTTTCTCTTTTCTCTGTCGCAAAATCGCGGAAACTCCGCATAAGTCCAGCAAAAATACTTCATTCGTAATTTATTAAACATTAATATTGTCATTTGTTGATGCCATTTCGAAGCCCTAGTGATGAAATTCTACTACGGGTTTGGGTGGTGCTGCCCACTCTGTAATTCGATCTCAGAGTGGCTCTCTTGCAAAATTATCTGACTCAGCTAGTGGGGAGAACCAGGAATGGTGAGCGTTCTTAGAAAAACAAACTTTAATTGGCCAGTCTTTTGATATTTTCATAAGTTTTTAATTCTTATCTTTATAATTTTATAGGTACGAAGCAGAAAGTACAACCTGTGGTGAAAAATGTACCGGTGAGGAAATTCACACCGATTGGTGCAAATGGGCCAATACCACCTGATGCTAAAGTTGTTATGCTAATGAAACCACGTGCACCTGGTGAGAGACCTACGTTTGTAAAGCTTGAACCAGTTATTAATAAACCAGGGATAGGAAATACAATGGCACCATCTCAACTGAACAATGTACGTGCCGTTTCAACCGTTCCTGAACAACGTCAATTGCGTAAACGGCGAATACTTCCTCCAATTGAGAAGAAAAAGGTTCATTTATTTTTATGCTTTTCAAATTAGATTAGATGCAGTAATTGTTTGCCACATAAAAGTGCGTTATATTTAATATTATATTTAACGATATTATTTTGAAATTAAATTTCCAGCCAGAGGAACGCTTTAAAGTTGCATCTCGGCGTGGTCGTCCACCCAAAGATTCAGAAGAACAATGTCCCACCAAAAAACTTAAAATACAGTCAGCTGACGGTGAAGGTTTGTTGTTTTTAATTATTCCTCTCTATATAATATTGGAAAAAAATTTCCCGCCTTATGTGGTATAATATTTTTACTCATATTTTAAATAGCATCCTCCTACGTTTATTGGCATTGCTCCAATTTTATGCGATTGAACACATCTTGTCCTTCTAAAAAGTTATACACATTTCGTCCAGTTGCTTTATAGATGAAAGCAAAGGAGTGTAGGAGGATTCAATGAGTTGTTTAATTTTTTCTGTTGCGGGAGGATATTCTTTATTTGTCTATCCGATAGGTTGAATGAGTTCAATCAGTAATTAACGAAAAAGACCTCTTTTGTTGTTGTTTAAATCCGGCTATTACTTTCTGAAGCTCCTTTTTATGCCATAATGCCATTTTTACTTTAGTCCATCAGTAATATAATAAACTCCCTGTAAACTTTTCAAACTTCACCCTCCATGATTTTTTGTCATAATCTATTGTATCCTCAAAACCTCGCTTTTAATACTCTTTTATGCTCGTTTTGCTGTTTTATTCAGAAAATTTTATTTAGAAAAATTACTGCAGATCTTTTTGCTCTACCTTAATCTCTCAAATATCTTTATAGCCTCAACAGTCCTCAGTTTCGTTACCTTTTCAAACCGCATTTTGCAGTTTTTGAAGCTAAACAATAATGCCATCAAGTATCGTAATATGATATTCCACCTTTTCTTATGTTAACTTTATTATGATGGCCCAGCGTAGGTCATTATATATTCCTAATATTAGCGTCTTAGACCCATTTTCTTTTTTGATTCTTTGATCCTTTTTTTCCCTTGTTCGAAAACAATTAAATTTAAAGAGGATTCTTTATATTAAAAATTAAATTTTAATACTTATATTTTTTATTATAATTTCAATAAATTGTAAATTTGTTCAGTTTAAAAATTCACTATTTTATAAATTACTTTTTTTTATAGTTCATTCATACAATACCTACTGCATTCTTGAATGAAATTAATTTGACTATTATTATTTGCATATTTTTTGTATTATTTTTTTGTCCATTCATTATATTTTGTTATTATGAAATAAGTTGATTATCTATCTACAGGACAACTACAAGAAGATGTTAAAGCTGAAGAATCAGAACAAAATTCTCAGGACTTGGTTAATACCGACCAAATGGAAGAAAATTTTAATAGACCAAAAAGGGCCCACAAAGCGCCACAACGATATGGTGATTTTTATGAAGCACCATCAACACAAGAACCTACTGGAGATGGAGATGTTGATTTTGAAGTCGCTGGTGAAGAGGTCGTTGAAGAAACACAAGCACCGAATAGTAGAGAGGATAGTAGAGAAAGCACTACCACGAAACAGGTATTTTATTTGCAATAAGTCGAATAGAGACAAAAAATCTTATGCTTTTGATTATGTTTTCCAACAACTGAGGATGATTAAGAAAATTGGAAAATAATCAAAATAGTCAATAGTCAAAAACTTACTTTTAATTCTAATTAATATTAATTTTTTATAACTCTTAGAAATCTTCGACAATTAGACAGACTGAAGACGAGGATGATAGAGATTATGAGGAAGAAAGCACCGAAGTTGCTGTATCGGATGATGAAATCGGTGAAGAAGAAGAAACTGTTAGTATAATAAAAAGATTATACAAAGAAAATTTTTACCATTGTTTTATCGATGATGTTTTTGTATCTCTAAGTTTTAATAATTTATAATTTATTTTTATAATTTATTTTTTGTCTAAAAGTATCAAAAAAATTGTAAGATTAATTTAATGTGCTAAAATTAAGGGTTCACGAGAGGAAATGAATATAAATAACAAAGAATACCATAAATATGTCAAGGGAAAATTGGCCAAAGGTAAACTGCAGTGTGATCGTTGTTTTCGTTTCTTCGCTAATCATAACAGTTTAAATGCACATCGATTCAAAGTTCATAAAATTATCATAAGGGTATGCGTTTATTCGTTAAAATTTTTTAAAATTTTCCATTATGCAACTCTTTAAAATATTTATTTTATATGTGATTTTAATTAAATGATTAATATAAATTTGGAACAGTTCTACTAAATAATTCATAATTCAGGCATCAGTGAAATGTCCCGGCTGTGACCATAAAGCAACCACAATAAATTCATTAAATGAGCATGTCGCAGATGTACATAATGTGAAACTTCGTTATATTAAAAGAAAATTCAAAACTGTCAATGAGTTTCAGGTTTTTATTATTCTTATTCTTTGTTTTAATTCGTTGTTAAAATTTATCTAATGAAAATTTATGATATATTTTTTCATTTAATTAATATAAGTGTGTTGACGAGTTTTGATATTAATTTTTTTGAGCCTTTTTTTTTTATTATAGCACTTTTTGGATGATTTGGCAGCAACACAAAATATGGCTTTTGTTCGTCATAGAAAATCTGAAAATAAACGACATTTGTATTGTAATCGTTCCGGTGCAGTGAGGTATTCATTGATTTCTGACATGAAAATAAATTTAATCGTTCCCGTTCTTATTCATTTTATTGATTTATGGAAAAAAATAGTTTATGTTATAATTACGTAAATTAAATCTCATAATTTCTCTTAAATTTTTCATATGCTGTTGTGTTTTCTTTATCTCAATCAAAATTTTAGAGTCACCGCAGATCGACATATTAGAAACAGGCCTCGTAAAGGATCGGCAAAAATCGGCGCAATGTGTCCAGCGCATTTCTTTTACACTGAATGTGAAGATGGGTAAATGTGTTGAATTTAATTTTGTTCATTCGTTATCATATAAAACTTTTACTTACGTTTAAATAGGCCTGTAAATCGCTGTTTCGACAATTTTAAATTTATTTAAAAATTTCAAAATTTCAAAGGGAAATTTAGTTGATTTTATATCTACTTTTTAGAAAGTATTTGTGAATAATTTGTAAAAAGTTTAAATAGCTGAGATGATAGCATCAAGTGCAGTATCCCTTTTAATAATAATTTTAATTATTTCTTTTTTATTCCGTTTTTTATGTCATTTTTTCTTTTAGATCAAAAATTTTAGATCAGTCGAAGTGGAAGGACAAATGACACACTATGGGCATACTCTCGACCCCCGTTTCGTTTTTCCTGCAACAAGCACTGATAAAGTTACCGAGCGTATGAAACCTTCAACTTCGAAAAGGTATATTATTTAATAATCCATATATTGCTGAAATTTTTCAAATTTACTTCTCTTTATTATGCCATATTATATTTATCATTCCATAGACATGCCAAAGTATTGCAACACATTCATTTTAATTTAAGGGCTACAATGCAGTCAATGTATGGACAAATTCCTGTTGATCTTGAAGGTTCCACTAAGTTTTTCTTTTCTTTGTGATATTTAAAATTATTTTCAGCTGAGGTTCGATAATGGCGATGTTTTTTTAAAATTATTTTATATTGTTATTTAATTAATTATTAATTTATTGTTATTATTTAATTATTTCAATTATTTAATTATTATATTCGAAATAATTTTTGAAAAGAAAAATCCTGGTTCCGTTCCACCTGTAAAGGGATTTTTTTTCAATGTAAAATTTTATTTTTGAACCATATTTTTATAAATATTCTTCCCATCCATTTGATTAGTTTCCCTATCCTTTTGGCATTTTGTTTCTGGATTAGCGGTTATTATTTATTCTTTTAGGTGGTAGAAATTTAAATCAGAGCGAAAATATTGCAAACACTAATACAGAAGCACGACAGGTTTGATCGAAATTTCCATGCCTTAATAAATAGAAAGCATTAATTAATGGCAAAATTTTTTGATTCGTTCCATATATGCTACTTTTAAGTATATTGTGTGACATTCGCGAATATTTGAAATAAAAATTTATTAATAAAACATTAATAAAATATTCAATTTAAGCGAAATTTTTTGTTTTTGTTATATATGTGCTACTTAGGGAGAAGAGGATAACGATGAGGAAGAGTTAAGGCGAATGGAGGAGGAAGAGCGTTACGAAGAAGAACTAGGGCCAGTCCACCCAAAAGCGGAAGAAATCGGTATCCGAATGAGAAACATTGATCGCCTCTGTACATTTTTATTTGAGAATATTTCGGAACAGCTTTATCGATTAGATGATTCTACGATGGATATTTTACTTCGATCGGTATTAAATCTTTCGAAATTATTTTGTTATTTTTATATTTTATATATTTTATATTGATTTTATATTTATATTTTACATTATATATTTTATATTTTATATATGTATTAAATATTTTATTTTCTACAAAATTAAGCAAAAATATAATTTCATTAGTTTTTAGCTTCGGACAACACAAAATTCGGTGTCCAATTTGAACAGTATGATGATCCAAATCAAAGATGGTGACCCTGATATAGTTAAAAAATTCCAGCGTCGTGGTCCGAAGGTCAATGATTGGGTTGGGAACTTTGGATCCGGAAGATTGCGTTCTGATGTAATATTTGTTTATGGCAAAAAATCATTAGATTATGATAAAAACTGGCGTTTTTGTTAAAGTTTTGAGAATTGAGAGTTTGGAGAATATTTCTTAGGAATTACAAGTGATATGTCCACAACACCACAAAAAGTGAATGAATTCTTGAGCTAGTAGATTTTAAAAAAACTTTTATTGTCAATGAATGGCTCATTGAATGAAAGGGACAAAATGAAAGGAATTATTCATGAAAAGTCTAGTTGCTTTTTCCTTAAATGTGAATTTTATTTTAAAATCATTGCAGTTGCGCCGGCGTCAAAAACAATACTATGATACTGACGATTATGATGAAGATACGGTCTACTATAGGCATGTTCCTCTACGTGCAAGTGATATTAATAATGCGTATATCATGGATGATCTGGAAGATGAGGAAGAAGAAGAATTTTTAGGTGAATTTTAAAGTGCCGCACTCTTTTTTTATTACCTTTGTAGTACGGTATCTTCTGCTCATTAATTCTCATACCATAGATCAGCCAATTCATGCTAAAATGAAATAACGATGGAAATTTTACCTGTTACGAAATGATAAAAGCAGAAAAAGTACCATAGAATTTGGATTTGAACTAGTATACACTATTAACAGTTGTCGTCAAAAGGATCAGTTGAGAAGTTGATAAGGTAATTTTCATCCATCCAGAAAGTCTCTGGCAAAAGAAATCAATAGACCATAATATGCCCACACCACCAGAAAAAGTGGATAAATTTCTGAGCTAGTAGATTTTAAAAAACTTTCATTGTTGGTGAATGGCTCATTGAAAAGGACAAAAAATCTCGGCGTGTAGAGTTAATAAACGTGGAAAATGGCCTTTTCTTCGTTTCGCAACAGTACAATTATATTTTTTTAATGCATTTGCATTTGCTTTATTTTGTTTCCATTTCAAATAATTCCGTTAATAATTTGAAATAATATAGACTCATAGATATCTCAGTTGTGATCTTTTCGAATTTTCCCTTTTATCATTCGTACTTATTTTTTCTTTACCAATCAGTTTAATGATGAAATATTTGCTTTAATTGATTGATAAATTCCTGTTGCTCTGGTTCATTTTTTCATTTATTAAGCTCTTATAATACCATTTGAAATAATCGCATAATCAGAAATAGAATAAGGAATAAGGAACGGAAGAGCTTTCAACTATCATGAATTTTGTTTTGTCTGTTTACAAAACCTTGCTATCAAAAATGAAATGATGATCTGTGGATCTGTCATATTTTAATTTAGGAGGAGTTCAACAGGAAATGGTGAACTGGAAGTGAAAAATAGTTTTTGGATAGAAATTTTTAATTTCTTTTTATCATTGGCACTTTAGTGTTTTTTTAATGCAATAATGTATGCCTTGTGAGAATTCCATTTTCATTTATTCTTATTTTTTATTCGTGAATGTTTATAATTAATGTAATGCATACCTATACTTACTACCTATGATTCATTTTTAAAGTTTCCATAATGATTTTTGCTGAATTTATTAAAACCATGAATGAATCGTAAAAAAAAGTAATTATCTTTTTATAATGGTTTATTGCTCTGTTAAAATTTTGGAACCATAGCTAGTCATTTTGGCACAATATTTTGGTAGAATTGAAGAGGATTTTGAGCAGGAAGAGAAGAGGAGCTGGGACCTCTAAAGGTTATTGTTAATAGTGGATAGTGGATTATCTATTTTCATAGGCGGTGATTACTCTATCTCTAATAACGAGCAACATATGTAGTTTGGCTGACATTATAGTTTTTTTTCACTTTTTTATCAAAATTGCTTTAAGGACGAATGGTTTGTCACCAGCCGAATTCCAATTCTAACGGCAAAATTTGCTGTGAATTGAATTACAGTTTTGCTTTATAGTTGGTGGTTTATGGAAATTTTCCATCAATACATCCTAAAATTCCAAGAAAATTTGTTAATAAATTATAAATTATGAGATTATTACTGATGTAGAATGAGACTATCGGAATTACAGCAAAGAAGTTCTAGGCTGTGGTACTTTAGGCAGAAAATAAAAAAGAAAAAGTTTCAGGTGAACTGGCGAGCCACTAAACAATTCAAAGGTAATTAATGGAACAACGAAAATAGGCAAAAATCCTTTCTCTCCTGCTTTTTTATAATTTAAATCGCAGTTTTAGTAAGATCCTTAGAGCTATTTTATGATTTTCCATATCTCTATGCTATACTAATATAGCATGGTGGTGTTGCATTGTCTAAAAGCCTTCATTCATTTGCAGAAGCCACTGATACTAATTAAAAAATCTCTTCAAATCTCGGTCTTCGAACAAAAGCTAATCCTTCAAATGCTAATCCTCCAAAAAGATTTTATTTTGCAAAAGATGTTTTTTCATACGAGTTGAGTCCTTGACTATTTTATAAAAATACTTATTCATTATAAAAAATCATGGGAATGAATCGTTCATACCACTACCTTTGCTCCGCTGGCCTCCCGCTGGCACCGGTCAAATATGCCAGGAAGTTCCATTAGTTCCAACGGCGATAGACGAAAGTGTTAGATGAGTTCGCCAACATCATCCGATTTTCATTAGAAAATACAAAGAATTCTTGAAAATTTTCATTTATTGGAACAATTTCATTATTCATTTTATTCTTTATTAGTTAATATATCCACTTGCACCTGAAGCCAATTTCAAATAAAAGATTTGAATCCGTATGTTCAGTTGGTTTGAACGAACACCCATTCGCCGCTTTCCGCTCACCCTAAATGATATTTTGTGTACTTCTCGAGATTTATGATTTGCGATTGGCGATATTCTACGATATATAAAAATTCTGCTCGAATAAATTTGCATGAATAATTTAAGAAATTTTTCATGCTCTTTTTCAATCAATTTAGAAATCTTTTGAAAATATTTTTTGAAATTTATAGAGGAATAGATTTAAGCAATATTTATCTGATATATTTCTAAAAAATATTTCTATTATTATTAAAGTACTGTCATAATGAATTTTGAATTAAATAATATTCAACAATATAAGAGAAATTCATGAAAATTGTAAAATTTTAAAATGAAAGGAAAAAAGAAAACAAAAAACTATTTTTTTTAGTTTATTTCTAATAATTGTGATTTTTGAGAAAAATTCGAAATTTATGGAAAGAAATTTCAAAAAGTTTTTTAAAAAGTTCTTCGTTCATCTCAAATTCGACTTTAGGAATTTTCCATATTATATTTAATTCGCATTAAATATTCGTATTTGTATTTGGTCGCAAAATACTGAACCACCAATGAGTGCAAAATCATATTCCGCCATTGCATTTCAAGCTCCTCTGAATTTTCTGTAAAGCTTTGCAAAGCTTTTTTATCGATCACCGCGAAAAATCAAATAATAAAAATTACATGTTCCAGGTTTGGATCCTCTCAATGCGCTGCGGTTATCTTCTTCATTTATTGTTGTGATATGATAGGCTGAAGCAAAAAACTCAACTTTGGTATGATTAGCCTTATCATTTCTCATTAAGCCAACTGCGTAGATTCATATAGAAGCTTTTTGTCAAAGGATCGACGAGCCAAAATACCTGTAAGTCGATCGAACCTACAACTATTTAAATTTTTTACTAACACGTATATTCTTCTATACTAGCCTCTTTTTTTTAAATAGCCTTCACCAACCATAACTGGTTAGGCTCCGCTGGCTTATCACACTGGACAATTATGGCACCCTTTGACGATAGAAATGCAAGTGAATCGCCAGCGTCACTCAGATTTTTGGACATATTTAATGCTGTCGAAAGTGAAACCTCAGCATCAGTGCTTCGAATCAAACCATAGCCCATTGATCCACTCCACTCTTATCCGTTGGTCTTATATTTTACGATGTGGAAATAATTATTCTGCTTAGACGTAATTTTTTTCTTTTTGATCAATTGTAATATTTTTTTTTATCAAAAATGGATCTACGAAGAAAACAAATAGCGATAAAATCTGACCGATATTTATAATGAATTCGCTTATTCGAATAAAGAATCGCCTAGATGATTCGCATTGCTTTACTATTATTCCTATAAGTTAATTCTTTTCTTTTATTACCAATACAGTCAAAATTTTTTTAGTTAAAGTTATCTATTAATTTTAAAAATCGCGAAAAAGGCGAAGATATGAAGAAAAACAAAAGCGAGGGGCAATATTTTTTTCTTAAAAGAGTAAAAAAATTTCCCGGGAAGCATTTCTTTCAAATTTCATATTTTGTATTTTTATATTTTTCTCCTATATACCAAATTAATTTACGCTAATCGTTTAATCTCTTATTTCTTGTATATTGTATTTTTATATATATTTAGATTTTCGATATTAATTATGAAATATTTTTATATTTTTCCAACTAAGTCATTTCAAATTTTAAATATTCTTTTGCTGATAGCTATAATTAAAATTTTTTACGAAAAATGGTTTAATTTGCAAATGAAAAGTTGGTTTTATATTTTTTTCATATTTTTAGCATTATTTTAGTAAATTTTTAGAAATATTAAAAGTCACTTTAATGATATTTAAAATTGCATAGAAAATTTTGAAATGATATTTTAAATGAAATACGAAAGTAATTGATAAAATAACTATTTGTAATTATCGCTAAAAATATGATTAATTAAATTTTGATTTGTGCAGTAAAGAAATTTATTGGAAGCTATCATCAAGGCGCTTATCATTTTCGATAAAATTCAGTGCTCTGGATTTGTCGACTTGGATAAATTTTGCTAGGAAGTCTTTTGGTGAAAATTAGAAATATAGGTGAGAAAGGAAGAATGAAAAAGACAATTTTGTCCCAGTGGGAGAAACTTCAGTATCGCAGCTACCCAGAAATACAAGCAGTTCCCGACCCACTCAGCCATTCAATCACTAAATTCTTATTTTTTTCATTTTAAAAATGATTTTTTAGGTGAATTGACTCCTAAAAAAAATCGCCTTGGAATTTTATTCAATGAAGTTATTCTTTCGCATAAAACTGATCTTCCCGTCGATAAATCATTTATACGAATCAATACGAGAGATTCATCTGATCTAAGTGGTTATTATCATGTAAAATTTTTTAATGTTAAGATTAAGCCTACTATTCCTGGCTGTTTCAGCTAATGGTGCGAACGTAGAAATCAGTAGAAGACCACTAATTAATCGAAATAGACAGATGAACTTAAAAGATTGGGTCACTCTTGTTGGCAATCGAACCCCAGCAACGGCACTCCGAAATTGCAGTAATAACTGACTGAGCCATTCTGTTTCCACTGGGAACGAATATACTGTATGAGAACTAAGTTAACAATGGTGCAATTTGATTTGGTTGCAAGAAAGATTGTCCTTTCATATTCGCAAATTTTTCTAAATTTTTCTAAACTTTTTATTTATATTAATTGTTTCTAAATTTATTATATATTCAAATTTGAGTTTCCAAATAGATTTAAGGAACGAAAATGGAATCAAATTAAAGATGGATCTGAACATTAAATGGATTTGCCATTACAGTTATCTAAAAAAAGAACACTGATTGCGCGATAAAACTCTTTCACCTGTTTGCCCTTTGCCCTGTTTACCCATTTAGTCGAAGGTCATTTCCTCTAAAGGGTACTGTAATCATTATAGTGATTATTTTAGAGGAATGGAACAATACGAATTGCTATTATAGGCAATAGTTATTCACGAAGCAGTCTTTATATGCTAAATAAAATTCTCGGCGATAATATCGAAATAATCCAAGTCTTTTGTCATATTAAATGTTTCGGTTTTTGGTCAAATTTATCAAATTTTTGTAAAAAATTCATGAGCGATACATTGGAGAAACTTCGAGTTTTAAAGCCACACTTATTGTTTCTAATTTCAACGTTTGTCCTTAAAAAATTTTTATAAAAATGGGAAATTTTTTTTTGGAGAAAAAAATAATTTAGCAAATTTTCACATAGTGGAAAACTTTATAGCAAATAACGATGTGTTAGAGCTCTCATCATTTGCAGTTACTCGCTGCATTCGCTCGTCGGACCAGTCAAATTTTTGCCAAAGCATCATTTGACTATAGAAGTATAGGTGCATCGGGCCGGTTTTTTGAAATACTCAGATTTATTCATGCTAGAAGTAGAATTTCCAGCATTATCACCTTGAAATATGAATCAGACAATCATTATTCATAATTAAATTTATAATTTAAAATGGAAAAAAATTATCAATATCTCTGATAATTTTATGATTAAAGTGCATACGACGCGAATCGCTTTCAAAGTTTACTTGATACATACAGCAGTTTAGCGGAGAGAATTATCATAAATTATCCATTTCCGATTCTCATGAGAGGGTTTGTTGACTTTTTTTGATTTATCAACTACGATAGATTTTATCATTCATTTACTATAAGTGAAGTGATTACATATGCAATTAAATCGGATAAAAAATTAAATTTTATTAAATTCCAGTTTCTTTTTTTTTAGATCAAAAAATATAACAGCAACAATAACGAGGAAATTATTACTATCGTATTCTATTAATGACATTTACATAAAATATGAGGAATTTTGGGAAACTTTTAAGGATATTTTTCATATTCTTAATTCAATGAAATGTTATAAATGCATTAGAGTTTATCCACATAAAATGCTTTGTAATAACACGGTAAGCTAATTTAAAAATTAAAAATTTTTAGTATTTTCCCATTTTCAAAAAGGCTTTGTTTCTGAAAGAACGTGGAATATTGCCGAAATTCGGCTAAGTTGACCAACTTCAGTTTGATCCAGGTGAAGAGTGGTTTCGCTAGATTCTCAGCGGCGGTATCATTCTCGACTTCGGCACCACGGAAACGTTTGCTTGTTGTAGCCAAAAAAAAGAACGGTTTATCTCAGGTAGTTCAAAAAAAATATAAACGTGAAACCACAGGACTTATGTAAACGTGAAACCCAATGCAGGCTTACATGTAAATTGGTGCTTTGCAATTTTGCCGAGGCAAACTAAGTTTAATCAACATTGCCGAATATTGCTGGTGCTCGATAAAACAGATAAAATTTACGATATAATTTTGATATGTCGTCTCCGATTTAAGTAAAAAAAAATGTTTGAAGATTTTAAATTTAAGATTTTAAATTTTAATTTTTTTTCACAATAAAGATAATTTTGTTCTAGATGATTTTATTATAAAAATATCATATTAAATAAAAGAAGAGAAGAATTTCCAAAATTTTTTCAAATTTTTCTCTTGCATTTTAACAATTTTTTTTAGTATTTAATTTTATTATAATTTATAATTTTTTTAATGAATCTAATTTCAGCTTTTTTCTTTTTTACTTTTGCAATCAAATCTATCACAACAAATTTTATTTTAATTTTATTTTATTTTAATTTTATTTTTTGAATTTTATTTCTAATTTTGTTTTCAAATATTTTCCAATTTTAGCCTAAATATTTGCAATATTTGAAAAATAATTAGGCAGTTCTTCAAATATTTTCCCTTAGTCTTTTATAATTAATGAAGCTATTAAACTGTTTAATTTTTAAGCTTTTTTAGTTTTGCCTCTTTTGTTTAAAATCTCTTTTGCTTGACATCCATAAGAATAAATCGTTCTCATTTTTCTATAAATTCCTTCAATGGCTTATAATATTCATAAAAATTTGTTGATTCTTATAATTCTCTAAAGGTGGAAATTATGCATGCAATAACAGAAATTCTTTTTCATACCGCTTCCTCCATTTCAATTTGTTTTATTCAGAAATAACAAACAGGAATTGTAGGAATTTATAGAGAAATGTAGTGTATTCTCTGTTAGTACGAATTAATAATTAATAATTTTTTTCCGAAAAAATTTTTATTCAAATATTTTGACATTCATAAATTTTATTTATTATTAATTTAACATTTTTATCTTTTAACTATTTCTATTTCTTAATATGGCGATCTAAATAATGATTTATTTATTCTATTTATTCTTTGTTTTCCATTCTTTATTCCTTCCTTGTTCTTTACAGATTGCCTTCATTCCTCACTGTCCTTTACAAATTTCCTTTATTCTTCATTGGTGCTCGTGAATTTTTTTTTCCTTAGTAAAAATCATATAAAAGAATGAAATTACGTCTATACTTTATAGAATTTATTTTTATAGATATGTCAAGTGTACGACAAGAAAACTTTGTCATCGTATTATGATGCAAATATACATTTAAATCGTTATGTTTTGGATCGAATGAGTATTTTATATATCGAAATTATCAATGAATTAATTAGTAAAAGATTGATAACAATGAAGGAATCAATCAAATTTAACATTGGCAATTTAATCGGAAATTTTTCGGCCATCTAACCATTATTTTATTCGTTTTTGGAATTCATTCCATCCTATGCGATTTTTTCTAAACAATTTTCATAATATTTTAGTAAGTTAAGTGCGTGAATATTGCAAAAACAAATATTTTAATATACTTAAATATCTTAATATTTTAATCGAATATTTTAATTTTTTTATTATCAAAAACAATCCTTTTAATTGTTATTCATTAATTTTGAAATTATACATTTACAATACAATAGTAATATTAGAGATGTATAATAAATATGATATTACATATGTCAGATGTATAACGAGTATGATATGTGATATGATATGATATGACATGATGGTAAGCACCATGTAATATGTGATATAATATGATATTCAATGCCATAAAGAATTAATTATTTATTGTTAACATATTCATTTGCCAAATTGCGTATTTATCTGGAAGACTAAAAAATTCATTCTTACAATTGGTCAATTAAAATTTTAATGCAATTAGCCATTTAATTAGCCATTTTTATTTATATAAAAATATATTTATTTGTATAAAAAGATTAATAATGATTAATTAATAATGAAATTGTAATTTTTTATGTTTCTGAATTAAATTAAATTAAACTTTAACTGTACAATCAATTGCAACTAAATTAAATAATTAAAAATAATTAAATAAATTAAATAATTCAGTGAAATTTAAGTTTTAATAGATAGTAAATTGTTTTCATTGTTTCAAAAATAATCGTAAATTTAATTATTAAGTTAAATGAAAGATGGAAATATTAAAATTGAATTATTACAGCGATGGAATTATTGAACAACCGTGCGAAAATTGAGCGTTTAATTATAATAAAAATATGAATTTTAACAGAAATATGCAAAAAATAATTGAAAAAATGTAAAATTGATTGGTTATGACAAAATTGTAAAGAGAGTAGAATAGCTTAGTGGACTGTCGCTATATTTTTTGAGGCTTCTCCATTACGGTTTTTTTTTTAAAGAGCCTTCATCATTACTGGGTTAAACTCGCTCCACTAGCTTGTCGCAGTGAGGCAGTATGCCAGAGAATCCCTTGGTGATAGAAGTATAAGTGGTCGCCAGCATGCCCGGATTTTTGTACAGGTTTACTTCTGCGGTGAATCGAACCTCAACACCGGCACTCCCAATTGAGCAACAACCCTATGAGTCATCCTATCCCCAAGATTTCAAGCGTCCTAAACCTATCGTTCCAAAAATTCAGGCCATTCTACTCCCTGCAATCTCCGCAGTTTTATGCTTGGCGATCCAAATATATTTCTCGTGTCCAATAAATCACTAGCAAAATTTATTTCTCACGTGAAAACAGGTGAGTCTAAAATATAAAAATATAACATATAAACAAACTCTACAGCTCAGATAATTCACTCATCAGAATATTTTTTCGCTCTTATTTTTCCAGTAATCTTTTATTAGATTTAGAAAATTGGGATTTGAGGATTTTATAAACGATAATTTGATAACTTTTGATAATTAAATTTTTGCCTATCTTTTTTCTCATAGACCAAAATGCCAAATTTTTTAAATGCCTATTATGACGATTTCGCCTAAATCTATAAATAAAAGAATAAATTGAAATTTAAAAAATCCTTAGGAGATTTGTAATAGAAAATATTTTCTTATCGATATTTATCATAATTTTTTGGATTTTTTTCTTTTTATTCGAGTCTTTTCATTATTTTTTCTTTTTTTAAAATAAAATTTTTTTACATCATTTCATTTTTCTCTTTCGCTTTTGGCACTTCCAATATTGTCTTCCAGTAGTTTTTTTTCAAAATATATAGAGAAAAAATTAAATATTTTAAAATTGCATATATTTTTCAACAAATTATACTTTTTTTGGATGGAATTTATTACAATATATAATATTTATATTATATATTTAGAATTAGCATAGTTTTTTAGAATTTTCTTTTATATTTAAATTTTCCTAGCTCAATAAACCCAATATAATATAATGCATAATTAGCTCTTGAAATAAAAGCTAGAATTGGAGAATTAGCTGGACGATTTCCTTTTTTTCATGTAAAATACTTCTCGATCTACCATTTTGTTGGCTTAAAAACGTTTGGCATATCGTTTTTTCTGAACCTGCAACACATTATCAATGAAATTAATTACATATTGACTGCCTGTTTGGTTTATGGTAATTGAATCGATTCGATTGAAACGAATTATTAAAAATGGAAATGCGAGAAATTTCTAGGAACTCCTCGTATTTTCACTCTTTGGTGAATTCATGGTGAAAAAATTAGTCAAAACGCTTCATCGGAATAGATTAGTCCAAGCCAGAAATAGCAAGTGCCTTAAAGCGAAGAAAATAAATCACTATTCGTATCCAACTGGAAATAATTTCAGTCGGTTATATTTGATTATTATTTCTATAATCGTTTAAATCCTCTTCTAGAAATTTTAGGTAGGTAAATGTGTTGGTTAAATAAAATTTTAGCAAATCAAATAAACTTCTCGAGCACAAATTAATCAAAATAGGTCTCTGATAACAAAAATGCATTAATATATCAGTAATATTTAATCTTTTACTAACGTTTCATAGATCAGCGATTTCTTATTGGTGAATCAAACCAATTGTGTCTTCGGCTATAAGTTCAGAGATATTATTACTAACAGGAGCCTTCGTTGAATGATCGATAAATGGAACGAAATCCATCTATTTTTGGAATTGAGTTCATTTATTAAGGCTGGCAGAATCAGAGATCATAAATCTAAATTTCGCTGTTAGAAAACAAAAGTAAATACGGATGAGAACGAAATTTTAAGAAGAGTTATGGTCCCTTGTGCATTTACTATGGTGTAACAGTGTGGCTGCTGTCCATTTCTGAAATACTCCAGGTCGAGTAGTTGTAAAATTTTTTTTAAAAATACCTCTTTGAAGCCAGATAGGATTTTCGTTTCGGATCTTAAGCCGGATAGGAAGCGGTGTTGCTTCAAGAATAAATATATCTCAATATTTAGATACATTTTATAATTTGGTATCATCAATAATTTTAATAAATTTATTCATTTTCTTTTATTTATTTAATAGCAAAATAAAACCTTGAAAGGCTGAAAAAATTTCTTCATGAGAATGCGAGAGGCGAGGAAGTAATGGAAAAGGGAGCTTGGATTCGAATAATCAAAATTTTTCAAATCAAATCCATTAAAATAATCAAATAACAAATAATTAAAGTTAAAAAACAAATTTTAAAAATTTTTTAAATAATTTAATTTATATAAATTATTTTCATAATTTTTATGAATAATTTTTCCTCAAATTAAAAGTTTTAAATTGAAAAGGATTTCATCGAAAACAACTTTTGCAATTAAGCAATTAAGAATCTCAATAAATTTTTTATTATTATTTATTGTAAAATATTATTTAGCTGAAATTTTCTCAAATTAATTTTTTATATTAATATTATATTATTATTATATTATTATAATCTATTATATTATTATATTAAATAATTTATTTTCTAGTTTCAATTTAATTTTATATTTTATAAAATTGCATTTTTTCATTCAGAAAATATTTCATAATTCTTTGGTGGTACTAATTTATTTCATTTATTGTTTTTTTGCTTCATATTTCA